GGCCACTAATATATGTTTGGCTCGACATACATATGTGAAAAATCTTTCTCAAAGATGAATTTTTTGAAAAACAAATATCGTTCGAGATTAACAGACGTTCACCTAGAAGAAACCCTTTGAATTTGCTGTTCCTCTCGAGAACCAAACTATAAAAAACTGGCTCAATACCGTTGGTGTAGTTTCTCACATTAATAAGAGGTCTTGTATTTCTTTTATAATTCAGAATGTGATTTGAAACCAAAATAATATGTAGCACTTCATTATTAATAATTAATATTTGTTTTTTTTTTTCTGGACCCCGTTAAAATTTTCTCATAGTAGTACATTCGGTATTGTCTGAGAGTGAAAGAATTTCAAGAATGCAAACATGCCGATACATCAAAGAATACAACATAGTCGTCTGAAGCAAGTGGCACTGCAATTCTTCCACAAAGTCACTGATATATTTCTACCCGCTATGCCCCTTAAGGATGCCGCTAACGAGTCATTAAAATAGTGACTGTGGCAAACAACGTCAAAAGAGGCGGCCGAAGCTTTTTGTCATATTGCGTTAAAGATCTAATTTGTCAGTAACTTGAATTTATGAAATTTTACATATAAAAATAAATATGTATCATCTGGTGACATTTTAAAGACTATCCATTTCCTTTATCTACAGGGATTCATCGAGTGATTCTTCACTGGATGAATCAGTTTCATTAGAATTCATGACAAATGGAATTATTTTTTCTGATAATGAGTCTATGCGATCATCCAGATCCCACATCTGTACTTCGATTCTGATTGTTTTATGGATACATTTTTCCCAAGCTTCTTGATCAACTGTTTCCAGAGCACTGTATAGGCATTTCTTCAATTCACACAGTTTGAAGGTCTTGTAATTCCTTGAGATGAATCCTTTAACTTGAGCCTAAACGAACTCTATTGAATTTAATTCAGTGATAAGACGGCAACCGAAGAACTGACATTCCTTTAGTCTTCGCCATCTCATCGGTGACATACTTGAGGGACGTTGAGGAGTTCCGCTGATAACATCGTTGATTCAAAAGGAATAGCTTTGTAGGCACTCTATCTGCCTTCCTCCGATGTCGGTGAAGTAACTTTGCTTGGAATCTTCTAATTTTTTATTTTTTTCTTTTCTTGTTAATAATTTTCAATTTCCATCCCGTGTTAATAGTTCAATTTTTTTATTATTGCTTGTATTTTATTTCATTGTAATTTTAGTTTTTTTACTTAATATAATTGTTATTTTTCAGCTAATCTTTTTAACTTTTTATAGATTCTTTCAGGGATTTCAAATCAATTTATATCATATTAGACAATGGAATTCTGAACCAATGAAATGCACCACGAAACATTGTCAACCACCTTCAAACAAAATAACAACTAATGTATGGAGAAAGGTCATTGAGTGGGTTCGACAAAAAAAAACATAATTTGATGAAAGTATAGTTATAAAAAAGAACTTTTCATAAACTACACCTCACGATTTGATCTCCACAAACTTATTTTTTAATATAACACAGTAGCTTTTTCGTAGTGAATCACCTACTAAAAGTTCATGCTTAACTATAAGATTTATATACCTCAAGTAATCACAATTGAGACCATCTACTCAGGTACTTACTCGATCATAATTACCTAAAGCATCTACTCAACTTTTATATACCTAAGGTACATCCTCAATTATTATTACCTAAAGCATATTATATCAATTCTACATCAATAATACTTCATCAGTTTCTAAGAAATCAAGTTCAATAATATTGTTCTATTTAAATACAGTTGGTCATTCAGTATAATGTTTGAATTTATTAATTTTCATAGCTTCCAAATGATTTAGCTTCAAACCTTTATTCTCTATGCCAGTTTGACCAATATATACCTTAGGACATGTTCCACAACTTAATTTATATACTCTGATTTCTTGGATTTGGATGTTAGGTAGAATGAACAGTAAAGATGATTTTGCAACTCATCACAGACTTTTCCTTACGTATATTAGTATTCATTACAATTCTACCCAACCATTCTTAATAAAGAATTCAAGTTCATTAATTAAATTGCAGTAAACAACGGATTTAAAGCTGAATTAATAAACAAAATACTTTCCAAGAAAGTCATGCAAAAGCGATTCGGGTCGTTTTTCCTATCGATAAGTTGGATAATTAAAATTATAAAGCTTTAACAAATTTTGGACAAACAACAGAAAAAGTGGCTTCATTTTTGAATAAACAAGATATTAAAAGTGCATATAGAACAGGTAAAACGCTGGAAAAGATTGTTGAAATTAATAATTCAAAACATCCAAATCCTAGAAATCAGGAGTATGTAAATCAAAGTGTGGAACTTGTCCTAAGGTATATATTGGTAAAACTGGCAGAAAATTTAGGAATCGCACCCAGGAACATCATATACCTTAGGTATATAAAAGTTGAGTAGATGCTATCTGTAATTATGATTGAGTAAATACCAGAGTAGGTGGACTCAACTGTGATTATGTGGGGTATATAAATATTAGAGTTGAGAATGAACTTTTAGTACGTATTGTATTACGAAAAAGCTACTGTGTTATATTACTGGTATAGTTTATTAAATTACTATGGATCTTCATCAAGTAACGACAGAATCAATATGAAAATATAAAAAAGAACTGTAGGCTGTAGTATGATCAAATAAAGCTCGTTTCACGAAATATGTAGTCAACAAGATACCACACAAACGAAATATTATTTTCATAAACTACTCCTTACGATTTGATCTTCACAAACTTTATTTTCAAAAATATCTCACGTTTCGCTATCACAGTAGCCTTTTTGTAGTGCATAATGGCATATTTATATTTCTATTTTTAGTGTATGTTATGCACTATGAAAGAGCTACTGTGATAGCGAAACATATCGTGAGATACTTTTGAAAATAAAGTTTGTGAAGATCAAATCTTAAGGTGTAGTTTATGAAATTAATATGGATCTTCATCAAGTAATGGTCAAATCAATCGAAAAAAAAATATATTATTTTGCATCTGCTCCTTCATCATTGTGAACTTAATCCCAATGAACTCAGTTGGGCTCTAGTAAAGAGTTCCGTTGCAAGAAGAAACATGTCAAAATACTCTTTAAGGAGTCCTCAAATAACGTCAATCCAAAAAAATTGCGAAAATGTATTGAACATGTTATAAAAGATGAGGACAGCATGTGGAAACTAGACTATTTGGTTGAGGAAACTGTAGAAACTTCGATCTACATTGGATGAAGATTTATCGGATTTATCTGATGATAACACACCATTATTTTTGCTTATACCTAATAAATAAACATAGTTATTGGTTTTAATAAGTATTTTATATAAACCGGTCATAAGACAGCTGTGGCAAATCATAACGAAATCACAAAATTTTATTTGAGAACTCTGTTAGCGTTTTGCATTCATAATGAGCATTTATTACTCTTCACTATTAGAAAACAGAGTATAAGGGGACAATGTAAGATTATCTGGTAAGAACATATTGAGTAACGGAGAGCTATTCAACTCAACTGGTTTCTTACACATCAGAAATTTTTGAACTCATTAATGCAATGAATTGATTTTTCCATAATGGAAACTGTTTTTATACATTTATGCATGCTTCAAATGTGCTTCCAGTTTGACCTATATAAAACACCGGACAAAAACCATTCATAGGTCAAACAAGATGAACATAATTTTCCAGAGCTTCATAAGTTCATTCAGAAAAAAGGTTTGAAACTTGACCTGGAATGTATGGAAATGAATGTCCGTGTTGAGGTGATCTCCATTACTTATTATATTCTTATCAGATAATCATGTTGAATTTGAAGAAAATGGTCCCTTGGCCGCGATTTTGAATGGATACGGCCACATACATTATATCGTTGAAAAGAGGATTTTATATCAGATCAAATGGTCAAAAAATATGCAGGGTTCTACCTAAAATTCTTAATTAACATTTATTTCCGGTTAACCCTGCATAGATTTTCAAGTGTTTTATCATTCGAAATATCGGCTTCAATTAAGTGTATCTAATGTGTAATAATTTCAAATTTCATACCTAATGAATAACTGAATTCTCTATTATTTTGCACACCAGTTAAATAGATCAATAAAACTTTCCTCATTGTTAAAATATTTAGAAAATCAATCCTAGTATTCACTTCGCTGCTGATACACTTTGAAAAGCTCAATTTTGGGTCAAACTATATGCCAAGATCTTCAATTACGTCTAATCGGTTCAACCTTGCTTAAATGAATAATTGTTTTCAACCTATATCTATAATAAAGACATTTCTGTATATTGAAGAGAAATTTATATTTCTTTTGTGCAAATGTGTTGAGCAATCTATATCGTTCAGAAGTATTTTGCAGTCATTCGAAGTTGAAAATTTTCAGATGATTAGCAGAAAGAAGAAGGCTTGCTGCCCATTATTTTTTATCACACAAAAATTAACTCGGAAATTATAGCTAAGCCTGCTGTTAAATGGTCCCATGATGTTGCCCTCATTAGTTCCTATGTAAGAATTCTTATAATTTTCAATGTATAGTCCGCAGAAGTTGGAAAAAATGAACTCCATATCACCTCTAGCAGTGTTCATTAAACACATAGGATATGAAATTCCTGGAAAATTAAACAGCTCAGAAGGACAATTTTATTCAACTAAATTTGAAATAAAAACTATATTTTTCTAGAAACAATATATATTCAGTACAAAATTTTTCATAACAAAAAAACTTTATATCATTTCATATTATTATTAGTATTTTAATGCGAACATGATTTAATATTTACAAGAAGATTTACATATTTCATTCATCCGCTGAGACAATTGGACAAGAAATATCTTATTTCGTAAATTTGAACATAATATTCGTTTTGTAATCTAAACAAAAAAAAAATATTTCTTGCAAGACTGTTTTGATATTATGAAAGTCAGAGTTATTTAGTTTGTAATAAAATGAGATAGTTCTATAAAAGGAAAATTAAATAATGTGAAAAAAATTTTATTATACTTTCCAAAGAACATCTGATAACAAAAATCTTTTTTCAACAAAAATATTTTGAAGTACAAGAATTGCAAGGCAGATTGAAATTCCAACTTAATAAATGAAGCCTACCAAAAATTATTTACGAACATTCCATTGTTGCCCAGGAGTTTGAATTTTCGTTGAAAGATGGTACATCAGCTGGAGTACTGCTGTTATTTTCTACATTAACTGACGACCCTGTCGCAGTTTGTTCCGTATGTGTCACATTTTCTTGTGGGTTTGTCTCTTCCCAGTTTATTTTAAATCTAGTTACCCTTGGTTCCGATGCTAAAATATTTCTTACAACCTGAAAGGAAAATGTTAACAGTAGTTTTTTATTTTATTATGATTTTATGTGTAGACTTGCCTCATAATTCTTTCTTTATATTGATACTATTTGCGATATGTATGTTTTATGTAATCATGAATGATAAAACATGTTTTGAAAAATAAAAATAGATTTAAATTAAAAGGGATTTATTTTGAAAAAGAAAGTTTTTGGTTTTCTACTTCTCCATCTTTATAGAAAGAAAATGAATGTGGGAATGGTCCAAAGAAAGGAAGGAAGCAAACAATTTCAAAAGAAGTAACTGTTTCAGGATGGCTTTTTCTTCCAGTTTGTGTCTGAAAGTTACTTCTCTGCATAATCTACATCTTTGTATAGAGTTACCTTTTTGAAATTGATTGCTTCCTTCCTTTTTTTTTTAGAAGATTCCCACATTTATTTTTTTGTATAAAGATGGAGAAGTAAAAAGCCAAAAATTTTCTTTCCAAAAAAAATAGATTATTATTATTAGTGCCAAACCTTCAATTCCTCTATATCAGAGAACTATTTTGAGAAGATAACTAGAAACCTATTTGCTTGCAAAATAAAATTGGGGATAATATTACAACTCATTTTTCCATCTGTGTAAGAAATGGCCAGAATTTCCAGTAAATAAAGTTGACACTCCCAAATTAAAATGGAAACAAATTCCATGGAAATGTGTGTTGTCAGCTATCAACCGAAATGTTTGAGGCATGTTTTGTTCCACAAAAATTAAAAGTAAAAAATGAAAATTAATGGTGGATAACTCAAGGCATAAGAATATATGTGAACAATTGAACATATAAGTAATACATTTGACGAATTGACAGACGTGTTCTTAAATGTGCCGAGGAAATATACTACAGAGAAACAGTGGAAAAGTCGAAACTAAGGTCAAAGAACACTAGACAATACTGAACTTGCACGGAAAATACTATAGTACAAAAACCAACATCAACACTCTAACCTCAATCAGATCCAATAGATGACTTAGAACATGTAGATATAGTAGGACACCTAGAAATTTTTATAGTGATGAGTCATAGCATGCTAGCCACGGTAACCATCATCTGGCACGCTTCAGCCCTGCACGTCATCAACCTCTTTATTTTTGAAAGCGTAGATAAAATTAAAAAAAAAAACTTGTTGCGGTAGGCTCGAAATTTTTATACGATTTTGTATAAAACAAACATTTTGCCAAAACAACTATCTCAATACTGAGCAAGTTGCTGCTGCAGTATTCTGTGATTTTACTAATAGTAGAAGATTCTCAAATTAGAAACCACCTTCACCTGAAATACTTTTCATCAATTAAACAGATGAGTGAAGGTTGTTTCTAATTCAGATTATAGACTATATTATGGGCTTTGCTTGTGTAAATATAGAACACTTTTGCAAAAACTTTATCAGTATGGCTTTAAGGTGTCCCTTATCTGGTTCAAACCTTACATTAGTGATAAAAATGGTTTGTTAAAACAGGGGAAACTATCACAGAACGCAAGACATCTAGAATGTTCCTTAAGTTTCAGTATTAGGCCCTATTCCTTTTTTATTTTTCTAAAAGATTTGGCAGCTATTCTGATTGAAGGAAGTTTCACTGAGTTTGCATATTGCATACTTGCAATAAATTAAATGAAGATAATTAAATGATTTGATTCTAATTATTATCTGTGCTTCAACATTCAAAAAATGATTTTAATCACTTTTAAACATGAATGTTATGATTTGAAAATGAACAGTAGCAATTTAGAAAACAAAGAATATTTGAATTTTTTTGGTTATTCAAAGTATAAGACTGAAATTTTATTAGCATAAAATAGCTTTAACCAACAAATTGGCATCAGGATGTTACATATCTGAGCTAGATTTATAGATGAAGTAATGCTTAAGTAAGGCAAATGCCAACCGTTCAGCAAAACATAAAGACCAGATTGAAATTTTTTCACTGAACAATATATCAATATCTGAAAGATGTTTATGTATCAACTCTTGCTGATCTATTACTTACAGATAACCAATCAGAGCATGGAATTGCTATTTTCAATAATGTCAATTTTTTTTTCAATCAATGCTTTTGAATTGACATTCGCTGTATTTAAATGATTTAAGTATTATGAGTATTACCAACATGCAGGGTTAGTTCAAGAACCCCGATCAGCATGGGTGAAATTGAAAAAATCTTGTTTTTTTTATTTTGCCCTAGCAGATTACAATTCGATTGTGTTACGGTATGTGATCTATGAACATTTGTACTTTTACGTTAATGATTTCTGTAAAGCATATTTTTCTTTGCGTTATTTAATCTACAAATTCAGCTTAAGAGTTGTCTCAAATGAACTGAATTTAACAATTTTTCACCCAAGAATTTAACTTTACCATCTCAGATTTCGATAAAACTTGGCACATAGACTGAGAAATATATAAAGTTTTAATTTTTACGTCAATCTTAAGCATATTTTTCTTTGCGTTATTTAATCTACAAATTCAGCTTAAGAGTTGTCTCGAATGAACTGAATTTAACAATTTTTCACCCAAGAATTTAACTTCACCATCTCAGATTTCGATAAAACTTGACACATAGACTGAGAAATATATAAAGTTTTAATTTTTACGTCAATCTGCTTTTGAGTTTCTAAAAAATACCTGAAGTCACTGTAAGGGTATTACTCGAATTACAATTGCTCGTTGTTTCATCAAGCTAAGGCCTTAGGAGAAGTGACATTTTTTTTAAATATTAACAATCTTTTATATGATATGCAACTCAGGGAATTTTAAAAAGAAATTTTTTTACAATTTTGGGGGAAAAAATTATTTACGAAAAGAATTAAATTCCCAGAAGTAGTTTTCTATATGAATAAGCAGCAAAATAAGCAAAATAATTGTAAATTGTAACTTCAAACTTTATTGTTCAAAACTTAAAAAAAATTGGAAAATCATATTTAACTTGATAGTTCATACTGGAAACTCTGGCGTGAAATGAATCTAAGTAAACTGGTTTTGATAGTAGGTTAGAAAAAATGAGAACTGATCTTGAAAATAAGAAAAAATTGTTGATGGGGACAGGCAATAGATCTCTTAAAGTAGAGTATAACATATTCAAAAGTCATTACAAAAAAGTTATTAAGGATGCAAAGTTAAAATCCTATAACGATTTGAAATTAATGAGTGACAATATAAGTATAATTACTGGGTCAATTATAAACAACTTCAACAACAACAGAATTTGACAACTAACAGCAAATCAACAGCATAGGATTTCAACGATTTCTCCACTGATATAATAAACAAACTAATAGCAAATATCTCACCCTCAAGTAATACAGGGTCAGGTCTATTAAAAATATCTGTTAAAGATTCAGTTTCCTCAATACCAACAAATGAAACAGAAGTCTCAAATGTCAGTTCTTGTCTAAAAAACTATAAAAGGATGGACCTGTACAATATTAGCTCAACAATAATCAAAATATGTTTCTCAAAGGGTGAGTTTCCAGATTTTTTGAAGATTTGTAGAGCTACACCCATCCACAAACAAGGTGATAAAAATGAATGTAATAATTATAGATTCGTTACCGCTTGAACCACCGTGTTGGTCGGTGGATCAAGCCCCAGTCTAAACGATTGATTTTCACTTGCTGTCATCCAATTCGTGTTAGGAATTGCACGTTAAAAGGTAAGACCTCGTTAATTCTTAGCTCGCACAAGTTTCGTTTCGTCTACTCAAGCGGACATTATTCATACTATAGCAAAAAAAAAAATAAAGACACAGGAATACTAACCAGGGCTTTGTTATGTGATTTATCAAAAGTTTTTAACAGTGTATGCCATGACATGCTTCTAAATAAGCTGAAAAAATACAGAATAAGAGGTTTAACGTTGAAATTGTTGAAATCTTTCCTAACCGGTAGAAGACAATATATTATTCATAACAACATAACATTTAAAAAATTCATCATGGAGTTACCCAAGGATCCGTGTTAGGTCCTCTTTTGTTTAATTTGTATATGAGTGATTTGCCATTGTGGAAACATTTTTTATGCAGATGATTCTTCATTTATAGTTACATCAAGAAATCCCAGTATATTAGATGAAATAAAAAAAGAAACACAAGAAAAATGCAAACAATATTTCTATGTGAATGTCTTAAGTTTGAACAGAGATAAAAAAAAATATTTTAACAAAAGAACTAAATACGAAAATGACAATAGTGTGCGCCTACTAGGTTTTCATATAGTGAAATTAATAAAAAACTTTCTAAAGACTCCTTCGCCCTATGGAGAATAAGGAGTGTAGTAAGCAGAGATGTTTTCTCAAAATTGCTTATTTTGGTACAATACAGGCTCACTTGCAGCATGGAATATTACTTTGGGGTTCAGTCTAAGCAGCAAATGAAGTTTTTATATCTCAGAAAAAATCCCATTAGACTACTACTTAGTGGGATTTTTATTTTGAATGTGACTTTTTTGAATCTCAAAATAAATTTTCATTTCAAAGTTGTTAATAACTTTGTTGAAAACCCTATGTTGATATGAAGAGGCATTAAAAAATTTACACTTTTCCTAAAGCCATAGTTCAATCAGTAGACAAGCATTGCAATTTAAGTAAATGATACTCCCTTGAGTTCAACCAGTCAAGATATGATATTGCATTTTGGGAATTCTGTAGCCAGCATCTGATTTAATATTCTCAGTGTTTTTTGGCACAGTAAAATCAATTATAACAGAAAAAATGTTATTTTTCAAACTGTTAACGAATTCAAAGTTATTATCTTACCTTATCAAACTGTGGTGGGCTGGGAAGATTTTCTCTCAATTCTGGGTCACTGTATTCATTATTAATAAAATATCCTACTCTAATAAATTCTTGACTTCTGTATGAACATGTTAATAGCACGACAGTGACTCCTATGGCATCATTCTCGGGAATTCGAGATACATTTGGAGGATCCGCCTAAAAATCATTTATTGAACTTCAGACATGAAGTATGGAAAAATATTACAAAACAGGCCTAGGCCTAGGCCTAGAAACCTTTCAAAGACCAAATCATAAAGCATAATAATGTTTATATGAAATATGATTGTGAATTGCAAATATTGAGGCTACTTTTATTAATTTCTTGATATAGGAATAGTCGTAAATTGGTTACTGTTAAGTATTAATTTTCTCGCTCACCTGAAATACAAACATATGTTTTCCTTCTGGAATGGGGCCAACAAATACTGAATCCAATACTTGATCATACTCTTCACTTTCAGCAGAGCCTACATATATCATTTTCCACTCTAGATCTACAAAAAAACTCGATAGGTACACTCAAAAACAAAGATAGCTTTCTCTACCTTCTTTCAGTTCTTCTATGCATTCGAAAGTAATTTCAAACTGAAAAGGGTTCAAAAATTGACTAGGATTGTCCATTACTGTAATATTACACAATTGAACTTTTGCCATTTTTAAGAATTGGTTACAGTTTTTGGTGAAGTAAGGTTATATATTATTTATGATGACTAATTCAAAGAGTATGCTATCGTTACCTTACTCAAACAAAAATAAAAAATACACCAAAAAATTACGTCTTGCAGTTGTTATAGTTTTCTCACATACAGATTTTTACCGCCTTAATGTCTATTGTCTAACAACAACGCCAGTAACAACTCTTCTTCGTTTTTTTCAATAGACATGTCTACCAAGATGTGATGGATTCGGCAGCTTTAAAAAAAATAAATAAAATTCTTTAACTTTCTGATTTCTTCAAGTTGTGAGTTGTTTTTTTTTGTACACAGGACTAAAACATGATCAGTGATTGGAAATTAATGATTAATTTTCAGTCAAGTACTTGAGTTTGACAAAAACGTAAAGGGATGGATCATAATAAAGAATTTATACAAAATATCTTGTTTGTGATCAAAATTTATTATCAGAAAGTATATTTCTACCACAAGCATATATATCATTAATGAAAATAACAATTTATATTAATTAAAACAATTTTTAATGATTCGAAGTCCTCTCTCTCTCTCTCACTTCCACTGTGGAACTATAATTCTGCTAGAGGAATCAGGAATGACCTATCCAGCCGTATTTATGCTTTCTAAATTCATATCCTCAGTTGAAAGAAACTGAAATGTAGTAGTAGTAGTAGTAGTAGTAAAAGTAGTAAGTATATCAAAAAAGCGAAAATGATAATTCCAATGACCACAAATTTTATCGCCTGTCAAGAAGTATGAAAACTTGCCAAGAGACCGATCCTTCAAAGACATGATTGTTCTAATGAATGGTGCCCACTGTTAGCCCCCTTAGAAAGATACAGACAATGTAAAAAGTTATAATGTACTGCGCTAGTTATCTAATTTAAAATGTGAAATTCACGTTGGATGTGAATTAATTTCGAAAAATACTCTCAGGAAGTTTATTCCACATAAACGCAGTGCTCCAAATGAAAAGAGTTGAACCTCAAAACGATGAGCAGCCACAGTCCGTCACGTATTTCTGATATGTACCGCTCTTGGTGGAATCAAATGTGCCAAGTCACTTGAACATCTTTCGTGAAAGTATCTATAAAAGAGAGATAAATCTCCAACCTTTCGTCGATGTTACAGACTATCAAGGTTGCAAGTGATGTTCGTGTCTCCAATCACGCGAATGGCTGTTTTCTGGATGGAATCCAGCAGCTTCAGGGTATGCTTAGGGTCGGAGCTTCATACATGAGAACAATACTACAAAGAAGGTCTGATCTAGAACTTTATAAAACATCAACAGTTGTTGAGGAGGGTACACTTTTTTTGGTTCGGAACATGTTCCAAGTTTTTGAGAAACAACCTTTCCAATTCCAGCGACATGATTGTGCCAAGACATATTGGTGACAATTTTAACCCCCAACAAACTTATCGAAGCCGGTTCGGAGAAATTTATCTTTTTGGAGAAAACCGATGCCTGGGTTTTTATGGCATTGAATTGAACCTGATAACTTTCAACCTGATTCAAAATCACCCCTAGATCCTCATTATGATATGCAACCCCCTGCTGGCGGTGAAGATCTGCATCCGCAGCCGATGTCCTAGAATCCAAATGGAATGACGAGACAAGTTGCTGTCGTCAGCAAAGCAATATATTGGATTCTTGGTTTTTCCCAATAAGTTATTGATATACAACAAAAAGAGGGTTGGAGACAATATGGATCCCTGGGGAACACCAGCGTTGATGGTAAAAGTATTCGAGAGATATCCATCGACGGCCACTTGCAGGGAACGTTATTTCAGGAAAGTGGAGAGCCATACACAAAAATGATTCGATAAGTCACAGCATCGAAGTTTGGCCAGCAAACCCTCATGCCACACACGATCAAAGACATTAGAAATATCAAGCGCAACAGCTCGATTGCGTTATCCCAAATATGGGTGACATAAGATAGAAAGTCGCCTATTGATCTTTGTTTCCGGAAGCCATATTGATGATCGTTCAAGATGTTAAAGCCTACCAAATATTTAAGGATATGGTGGTTTACGATTTTTTACATGATTTTTTATATCACTGACAGCAAAGCGACTGGTCTATAGTTATTTGGAAGATATTTGGGGCACTTTTTGGGTGAAGGTAGCGAATATGGTAACCTTCCGAAAGCACAAGTTGATGGACCATATTAGAGCTGAAACAAACATCTAGTCAGGAGAATTTTCGGAAATGGTCTTGAAGATCCTCCCACTCAGCAGATCTGTAATGCCAAAGTTTGCGCAACTCTGATTGTTCCCCAACATTTATCACCCAACACTGAAATGAATTTGTGGTGAGAAGATCCCAATAGAGATCTTACGGTGACTGTGTAAATTTATGGATTCGTTGTTAGGTATAGATCCAGAAGACCAGCATATTTTCCATCACGAGCAGGAATCCAGGTAGCATCATATAGTCTGAGTAAGTCCGGAATAAAGTGACAACACAAAAAAAAATCACAGAATGAGAATATTGACGCAATATGGAAACAATCTGCGCAAAACAGGACACACTGCATCCTCGGATGATGAGTGACCATATAACAGAAGGAGAAGCGAGATTGTGGCAAATTTGAAAAATTATCTCTGCTGAAAATAAATACATTCATTGTTGTTTGATATTTGGCTAGTTCATTGTTCCACTCAAATGGAAATACGCAGATATCATTGGATACGCGTAATCGATCAGCTGTGATTGAAACTCTCAAAGGGCATAAGATGGTAACTGAAGAAAATGTAGATGTGTTCGAAGAATTGATTATTAATAGATACGTAAGCATTAGGTATGTTCACTATAATAACGACAAAAATTTAGTAAGACTGAGTGATGACATGGAAGGAGAACCACCTCTGTGTAACAGAAAGTGTCCGTCCAAATCCATTAAATTAGGGAGGCACTACTGTAGCTCCTGTATAAATTTCAAATGAAGCGCTTATTGTTAGATAATGAGAATAGGTAGATACTCTAGATAAAACTGAATTAGAAACCTCCGTCTGCAAAAGCGTTCTAAATTTCACAATGATTTGATGAATTTCAACGTTATCTCAAAGTAGGTTATATTCTCCAAGTAATCTTCGACTCCGTTACATTTCCATAAACTCTATATCATTAACAACTCGAGTCATTAAAAATATTACATATTCGAACTCAGCATACTTCACGTTCTCTGTAATTGCCAAGTTCATATCATATTACTCTTGATATAAGCTCCATAATTGGTCGAATTTTGAACTATATATTATCTTTTACTAGTGGACACTTTGAATATTGAGAAATAAAACTTCATAAATGTTTTTATACCACTTGTATTTGTGATTAACGTCAATGCAGTTTCGTCCTTTAAGCTATATTTAGATTGCGTGAAATTATTTCGCAAAACAGTTTCGCGAGTCGCTGTCTCGGCCTAACTGTTTATAATAGGGGCGCCCAAGCGGGGAATTCGGGATTTACTAAAGCGCGGCAGATTAATATACAGGGGGATACCTTGTACCCGGTTAAGTACCTCCACCAAATATGAGCCCCATATATAAAACCGCCTGTGAGGGATAGAGGATCAGATTAGTAAAAAAAAATTGATCATCAGAAAATCTCGAGCGCGTCAGATTAAGGTAGGGTACCTGCTAAAAAGTGTATATTCCAGTAATCTGACAATTTGAGAGTGACGTAAAGAAAGGTGAGGGCAGCAAAGTTGTAAAAAAATAACGTAATTTCGACATTCTCGAGCGTAGCTAATTTTTTTTTATTTTGAAGGAAATAATTCAAGGATAACAAAAATCCTTACGTACAACCACCCACATCATGCAAACGATCAGATTTACATACCAACATTATTAAAAATACGTAGGCGAAACGTTTCGGGTTAACAAGCAAAAACGAGGTGAGCCGCCAGTTTGTTCGAGACAAGCATGCTGGTTGTTACTCCGAATGCAGCATTCGCAATTACGCCGATGATGGTCGAAAGAAATATTTCGACGGAGATTTCAATATGGAAACCGATTCCTGAGGGTTATGGCAGCGGAACCTTGTGAAGATACATTTCGAAACTTTACTCGGATGAACACAGAAGATTTTGAATATCTCTTATCACTAGTTGATAAGAGATATTCTAACTAAAATAAGAAAAATGGATACCAACATGTGAGAGGCGATATCTGTAAAAGACAGGTTGACAGTTTGCTTGAGATTTCTTGCTACGGAAGATTCCTACTGCAGCCTACAATACCTCTTCCAAATATAGAAAAGCTCAATATCAAGAATTATTCCAGAAGTTTGCGATGCGATAGTTCAGTCACTTCAGGAATATGTAAAGGTGAAAGAATTAATAATGTTTGTTATAAACTCTTATTAGGTAGTTATTATTTAAAATTATTCATTGAAACGACAAATGTTCGCATATCTAATAAAACAGATTATATATCGACGTCTGGAATATTTTCTGAGGTATCTGTTGTGCGGGAACCGTATGATGAAAGAGGCGATGTTTGGCTCCTATAATCATGTGAACTATGTGACGACACAAAAGGCGAAGCGTGCGGGATGTGTGTTTGTAAAGTATTGCCATATGATGAAGCAGAATACATACCCATATCTGCTTCAAATAAAATATTAGCGAAGGCTCGTTTTGACGTGCGCTAGCGAGTTCTGATCGAATTTTCGTAGTTCATTCGCCAAATTCAAAGCATAGGTGAAGTACGCATCATTAGATGAATTAACCGATGACTTTAAGATTTGCATAGGTTCATGCATCATTGAGTCGGATTCTTGCTCAACTGCCTTACGCTTGATGCGAGTTCTTTGTCTCCTGCTAGTATTTGGAGTAGAAAAGGTAGTCTCTTGTGACGTCTGCTGACTTATGGTCGAAAATGTAGTAGGTGGAGATGTAGACGTTGCAGATGTAGAAGGTGCAGATGTAGAAGTTGCAGATGTAGCAGTTGCAGATGTAGAAGTTGCAGATGTAGCAGTTGCTGTAGTTGCAGATGTATTATCTGCGGGGGTGACCGTAGGCGAAGTTGGCGTTACAGAAACTTCTATTTCGGAGTGTTCCTGAAAGAAAACAAACAACGGTTGAGTAATTATTTTCGGTCCCAGGTTAATTTTATTTTTGGCTCCGTTGCGAACATGTTTGGCATAACTATGTTTTCGCCTTTATTTTGAATGTTATTAATTTATTTTGTTTTGGTTTCAGGTACCATTGACTACAGAAGAGTGGCTTCAAATCTACTCCGAATTTGAAAGAAAGTGGCAATTTCCTCACGTTATCGGGGCTATGGATGGAAAACACGTTGCTTTACAAGCACCTATTAATTCAGGGAGTGAATACTACAACTATAAATTTTTTTTAGCATTGCGCTGTTTGAAATAGTCGACGCAGACTACAATTTTATCTATGCTGATGTAGGATGTCAAGGGCGGATATCGGACGGTGGTGTATTCAAAAATACGACATTGTACAATAAATTGGAGAGGCGCGAATTAAATATTCTTCGCGCAGCAGTGTTACAAGTCCTATATTCTATAGAAGTAAGTACCATATTGCGTATTAGCTGACAAAGCGTTTGCTTTGAGTGAGTATACGATGAAACCATTTGAGGGTAATCCCGTGGTACGTTTACCGGAACGTGTATTTAATTACCGTCATTCCAGATCACGTCGCGTCGTGAAGAATGCCTTTGGGATGAGTTCAGTATTTCGTGTATTGAAAAAGCCTCTACTTGTGCAACCAGACGTAGCAACAAAAGTTACATTAGCAACCATTTATTTACATAACTTTCTACGCAAAAGTACTTCTCAAGGAACGTACACCTCCTTGAAGTTTCGATACTGACAACAATGGCGACATTATAAATGGTAGTTGGCGCAAAGCAGCACCTATGACATCGTTCTTTTCACTCCGCACTATTCCGCGAACGACATCGGCACAGCTCAAAGACGTTCGCTTACATTTAGCTAATCATTTTATTTTGAATCACCCGTTGCCTTGGCAGGACCAATATTAAGAATCCACTTACCGCACCAGCAGTATTCACAGTTTTTCTTGGGATGTCTTTATCAGCCAAAAAATCAAAGTATTTGTAGGCGAACCATTTAGACTCATATACATCATCGCTACCTGTATCAATGATAATAATAAATAGTACGCTTATTTCAGGAGTTATCTCGCTTTATGGTACTAGTATGCATGCGGTGACACAATTACAAAAAGTCAATATTACCTAATACAAAGCATAAAATAATAACAATTTCCATATCGGAACCAGTGACTCTGGTTTTTTTCTTCCTGGGCCTCTCACTTCTATAGGAACCCATCAATGTTTTCATTTTTGCCTTCAAGGTAACATCAGGGTACTGCATTATGTCACTCCTTTACGTTCAAGCATCCTCTCTCTTCATGCGGTTTTGGTGACCCTTATCTTTGGCATCCCATAAAAATCGGTACTTTGCGTAAAGTTCAATGAGGGGGATGCTATCCTGCTGGTCCATTTTTGTCGCGAAAAAGTAGAATCGATTTACACTACAAGAAACACAAGAAGCGAGGCTCTTTGATGCGCGTCTAAAAACCGACTGACGAGTGGCTCACCTCGAAACATACTCGCGAAACAAGTTTCGGGGTGAGTACCAGATATAAATGAAGCGAAACATTTTCGCGAAATAATTTCGCGCAATCTAAATGTAGCTTTACGGACATGTTCAAACGACTACAATTAATTGAAATAATTGATAATGTTAACCCTTATATATCTATACATCACTGTAGGTGATAAAAGAGTTCCTTAATTAAATTGAGTAGTACCTGTGACAATGTGGGCACGCAAATCTGAAAACTGGCGAGGAGACAAGATCGATTTGGTCTTTTAACAGGTTACATCCGCAATGCTTATGAATTTCTAAGGATTGCAAATAATAGAGTTTTCAACCCTTTCTTGCATAGTGAAAAATTTACGTATCGTTTATAGATGGGTATAACCATTATAACTATTCTGCAGGTCAGCAAATTGTTCTCAGTAGACATTGCTCTCGTAATCTTGTAGGAGGACAGAAATTCTTGCAGGTCGGATCTGCCAGACATGAATCTCGACCAGGTTAATTATTTTCGACAGAAAAATTTCCAACCCCCTCCCAAAAGTTTCACAATTCTTAAAAAATTGGAAATGCATTTTGCAGGTCGGCGGAAACTCTTGCAGGTCGGGTCTTTCAGACATAAATCTCGATCAGGTTAATCATTTTCGACAAAAAAATTCCAACCCCCACCGTTTGAATAAAGAAAAATTCCACATTCCTCATTAAATTGATTTTAAACATTGCAGGTCGGCAGAAATTCTCGCAGGTCGGCAGAAATTCTCGCAGGTCGGATCTGCCAGACATGAATTTCACAATTCTCAAAAAATTGATAGCAGATAAAGGTAACGAGAATGTTCTGTGTAAAATCGAATTGTAGGCTGCTAATTTATGACTGTCGAGATGGAAAGGATCACTTGGGATTGTAATGTCTGTATCTAATGTCTCAAAGGTGTGTTGCGCGATACTGTTTTTTCTGGAATTCGAAATCGGGTATATGCTGCGTGTTCTTCAAAACGAGTTTTAATGAATCGCTTAGTCTGACCGATATATTTTATCACAGTCCTCACTGCTTATTTCATATATCCCCATCTTTTCATTTTCCAACATCTTGTCTTGTTTTAGAGCGAGCAAGAAGTTTCAATGGCTACTTTTAAGATCAACTTTTTGAAAATGGTTTATACGGAAGAACAATGAACTTTGATATATGTATTTGAAAAATCTCCGGTTATTTCTAATCACTAAGACATTCAAAAAAGGTAACTCCTTGTGTTGTTTTTTTTTTCAAGTGTTGAATCAATGTTCGTGGCTCTCTTCAAAACAAGCACTTTTCCTGAATACCAAAACTGCCAGAATCTTCTCCACGCACGATTCACCAACCAAGTTGGCGACTTCATGAGATGAAGTAAACTGATCTATTGTTGAGAGTTGAAACAAAGTCCTCTACTTCGAAATGTTTGTGTCAAATATCGTATAGTGCCTTTGTGAACACTTTCAATAAAACTTGGAATATCATTTTTTTGCGTAGAGCATTATTTCTATAAATGAATTTTCCTTCAACTAGAGTTCTTCATGAAACATTTCAGGAATCTGAAAAAAAATATCTGAATTTCTTCACCTGTATTCTGAAAATCGAGGCACCTTCAGCTTTACTTACAATAATTTGATAAATTCATGAGAACCTGTAGTTTTATTTTGCAATAATTTTCGTCAACACTGTAATTATAATAAAGTAATAAATAGTTTTTTCATTGCCAAAGTGCCAAGTCGACCACAATTCTATCATCTGACACGTTTTGCGTAAAAAATAAATTAAAACCATTATTTTATGAGTAATTGCCTTTCGAATTACGAAAGACATTTTTCCCATACGTCATGACTACGTCCAATTTGAGGTACGATGTGGATTAAAAATTAAGGTACTGAGTATAAGGTACATATAATACGGTTTTTGAAAAGGAATTGTCCTAAGTGAGTTAGCAATAACTGTATCTGGTTACCAAAATATTTTTGAATTTGATGATCTGAAAATAAACGGAGATTCTGCGCAAAAATTGGAGAATATCGACATTGCTCATATATTTTCATGTTGGTAAATGACCCTGAAGGGAACGACATAGCAAACACTGTGGAAGACATGAATAAAAGAGAAATTGAACCAGGGAAAACGAAACATTTGGAAATCCACTAGTGGCGAATCATGCCAAAAACCCCAAAGAAGCTGCAGATATATTTTTTTGTCAGGTAACATCTGTATTCAGATCAACTCTGAGGAAATTATTCAAACATAATCCCACTACAACATGAACTGAATTCTCGAAAAATATCCTGCATACTTCCTTGTGGTTTCTGCCACAAGGAAAGTCTGAAACAATTTTTAAGAGAAGCAGGTTTTTAAAAGAGAAGGGATAGCTCTCGGAAGTGATACACTTTTGGAGAAAAAGCTAAGAAATGTAAAAATTTCTTTTCAATTAATTTCACAACCTTATTTGTTAGATTAATAATTTCATATACAAGTTACAAATTTTTTTTTCAAGCCGACTTTGATACACTTACACGGATTCTCTATCTGGTATCATTTCTATTTGTGAAAAGCTAAATGAATCGAACTTCAGAAAGAAAACAGTTTTTGGGTTTTGCTATTGTTATTAAAATTAATTGTTACTTTAAGGATTTTTTTCGCATTTATTCCATAAAAACTACCTGGAAGGTCTACCACGACTGTAACTAAAAGAAGACATTCTAAAGCCTTCTACTCAACCCTCTCAGCTCTCATACTGCTGGGTAGCTGAGTTGATTAATTTCCAACATTTGAAAATTTATCCCTCAATTCTACCACAAATCTATAACATCCATGATATTGAATGACAAGAGATATTATCAACAATATGAAGAACCAATCCATAGCCGATAGTTTTATTTTTCTACTTATGATCCCAGCCAAAAAACTGATACAAATTTCTTAACCTAAGGTAATATGAATACACTTGTAGACCTGAAAAGATTTATTGCAAAAATATCTTTATTTCAATAAAAATCCATTATTATCTAAAATATAAATACCACTTGAAGGTTTTCAGTTATTAGATTTCTTAAATTGATCATGATGATATCCAACTGCGCCATGATCTTCAAAAAAAAGAGGTAAGTTCTTCATGACTCAATCTTTGATGAAACCAGAGCCGAAAGAAAACAAAGCATTCATGATCCAACACTGTTTTGACCCACCATGGTCTCACTACTAGTGCTAGGCTGAACCACGAATGCATTGTTGGACTCAACTGTCCATAAAGGACAAACCTGTCGATCCCATCTATGTGATCAACAGACGACTCAATCGACAAATATCAACAATGGTTGAACAATGTGTTTTTAGGTTAGAAAAAAACTTTCTCATATGTGGAATTTTCACAGCCTCAATTTACAAAATCTTATCAAGTGATTTTATTTTTCTATTTTGTCAAAAAATAAAAGGATTAAATGTTACTCAATATTTGTATACTTAACCCTAGTTATATTTTGAATTATCTCTACCTTTTTAGGTACCTTACCATTTTCACTGAATATTTATGATGGTTTACTTGATAATAAGGATTGAAATAATTAGGAACTTTCCTCTATTATTTCGTGGTCATGGAAAATGGAATGTGATATCTCAATTTTTGGCCAAATTTTTATAAGATTTTGGAAAAACCTTCCTGATTTTAATTCAACACTAAACTAAGAAACAGTACCAAATGTACCAATCAATCATCAAGTCAATTATCAATAATAACCAATAGTCCTAATTAGTAACACCAAACCTCTCATTTTTCAACTGATAATAACTGTAGAGTAGATTCAAGTGAACATCTTTCAATAAGTTTTGTTCCCATAATGATGACGGAACACCACCCCGCTCCAGTGCATTGAAAGAAGGACATAGATGCATATATTTGACTTTATTTTTGTATTTTGATTTCTCTTTACTCTCCTCGATCAGCTGACTATAACCAGCAATACCAGATTTTACTAAGAGATTATTTATGGACTCTCCCATACTATCATTAATTCTAATGATGTCTACATGTAAAATCTTCAAATTAAAGTCAATTTCCATTACTTTAATTGACAGGTCCTGTTCTGATAACAATTCGCAGAAACGATGAAGATCAGTTGAGCACCAAGGTTTATACTGATCTGAAATAATATCATAAGACAAAAATTTCATTAACTATCGCAAATAACATTACTTGCAGGTGAGATATATGCTAATGTTGCTCTGATTGAAAACCTCGGAACATTACAATGTTTCTTTAGCATATAGAATACATTACTCATTTCAACACTGATAATACACCCATAATCAAGTAGGAAAACTCGAAGTTTATTGTTCTCTGGTAGAAGCGCTGGTAACAAATTAGCTCTATAGAATTTTGAATTTTTCAATATAATACAAGTGAGTCCATGTTTCAATTCTATTTTAGGTACAATCACTTTTCTATCACTTTTGTTATAATAGGCCGTTAGGTAGTTGGTGAAAAGTTGCAGTTCATTGTATTTGATCACTATCCAAAATTTTGAGGGATCATAAACATTTTTTAACCTCACCTTATGAAATTCGTTTTTCTTAAATAACTCGATGGAATATGGAACACATTGGCCTAAACCCACAAATTCACTATTGGACTCTTTGATTTTCTCTCCCATTCTTTTAACAATTTGCCTTAAATAAAATGTTTCTATTTTTTACGTGTGTTATATTCCTGATTCTCGTAAAAATTCTGTACTTTCAACGATTTTATATTTGAATCACAGACTACAGTTACAGTCAGTATTCTGTGATTTGAATAGATCCAAAGTGGGAGAGGGGGAATGCAAGTGCAAGCAAACTTGGCTTCTAGATTCTAGAATTCTACCTTTGTATATAGTTTAACAACAGTGTTGCCAAAACGGAATCGTCAAAATACTCACTAGGACAGCAAAATATCCTTACATTTTATCATAGATACTATACAGCGTGACACACGGTTGATGGTAGGTTAGACGTTTATGGTAAACGTAACGCAGGATTTTTGTGAAAATTTTACATCTTACATTTCCTTACATATTCTATCCATCTAAAATATTTTTAGCATTGCTGCAATGTCACTTCTATTAAAAAGTCCTAGCAACGTAAAGTTTTTAAATAATACACCCCGTATATTAACTCATTTTTGGAATCTTTCCTTTAGTATAATATTTTTTTGTTAATAATGTCCTATACCTGTCTCTATCGATTTTCTAATTTGCAAACAGTTATCGACGGTGTTTCAAAACATCTTCCAAAATTTATGCAAATATCAATTATTCAAACGAAGTTCTTATGAAATTACTTATTACACATGAACAAAGTGAGCAAATCAATGTCAGAACTTGCAGAAAATTTAACCTAATGTATCCTGAATACACCAATGAACGAGAGGAAGTTTGTAAGCTTACAGCAAGAGCCTCACAAGGAAGAGAAGCTGTCACAACCATTGATTGTCCTTCCCTATATCAGAGGGCTGTTGGAAAGGATGAAAAGAATTGGGTCCAAATACAACATCAGAACCTGCCTGAAATCCGGAAACATCATCCGTAACAACCTCACGAAAACCGGACCACCAAATGCGGACTGCGATTCCAAAAAGTGCATTTACCGGATACTTTGTGAGTGCAGAAAATTCTATATCGGTGAAACTAAAATGCCATTGGAAGCATTCGAATGACCTATGAATAGTCATTTCTCGGCGAAATAGTCCAGTCATCAGCCGAAGACGATTGTGGATACTAATAATCGAAACTTAGTGAAGTAAGTTATTGGTTTGAAATCTTTTTAATTTTTATTTCATTTTTAATTGTTCAAATTTCAGTTTTTTGCTTATTTTCATTTTATTGTATTTATTATTCAATATAATTGTAATTTTTAGCTATTCATTTTGATTTTTAATTTTATTTATTCTTTCAGAGATTTCAAATCATAATATATCATATAAGACAATCGCAGTCCGAACTAGTAAAATTCACTGAACCCCCATCTTCAACAAATTGTTCAGAAATTATAGCACTTTTCAGAAAGACAGAATAGTTTGGAGTAGCACTAATTGAAAAAGGGAAAAATCTAAACCCCTAGACTGTGTTCGAATTTCTGCTAGTTGAAAAAAACATGCAAATATATTTCTTGACTTGTCAAAAAAAATCAGACCAGACCATTTGTCATGAGCGCAATGTCCCTTTTTGCAAAAATGCTTTGTGAAATATTTATGTGAATCTATCCATAATAATAATCAACAATTTTCTCAAACATTTTTTATTTCTAGATGCGTTTCGCTAGATTCCGAGGAAGCTACGAATACATCTTGTGATGTATAGGACTGCTTATATTGTTTTTGAACTATTTTCTCCACAATATGTCCAAGGAGGATCAGCATGGGAAAATCGAAAACCGTAAAAGATACAATGTTTAATTGCGAAAAAGTTTCCCAGTTTAGAGGTAACTCAATTGACGCTTCAAATAATGTACAAAATAAAAGATGAATTTTGAAGTTGTCGCTGAAATGACTAACTTATATCGTGTGATTCATTTTCTGGCCCATATAAAAAATTTGAATTGGTAATGGTTTTTCTGAGAACACGTCAAATGAAAAATCTGTAAAGGCCTTATATATTTCTGAAAAACTCTTTTTCAGTGTCTTCTTGAATAGTGTCACAAGAAAGTTAAGATACTAATACTACAGATACTAATTAGAATTTTCAAAAATGGCTAGTTTTTTCCTCAGTCGACCCACATTGTTCCTCTCACGGTTTCTGTTTTTTCCATGTTGGCCCTTCTCATTTTGGACACATCAGAGCATATGTACCACCACATTGTACAAATAATTCTCAGATAGTTAGGTATGTAAAGTAAAATCAAATTCACATATAAATGAGATAGGTTCAAATAAAAAAACTCTCAGAAATTCAAACTTGGGTGAATTAACGATTAACGATGTCCACCACTGCAACGAGTTATTCCTAGTGAAAATACATTTGAGTATTTTGTCAACAGTTACCAAAATGTCATGAATAATGACTTTTTATGAAATATAGGTCGTATACTTACAAATATTTGATCTGTATGAAAAATGTTTTTTTGGAGTATCATGTTTGAAGTAGGTATACGTTTATGAACTCAACACTTCAATTATTTAAGAAGAACAGTACTGAAAGACAACCTTTTCTCAACATCATTTTTATATTTGAAATTTCATCAATTACTACTTTCAGACAAGTACTTGAATCATTGGATAGAATATGCCGATACTTAATGAATATTCATATGTTAATACTAACTTAAGCGAAACTGATCATTTTCGCTTGAGAAAGATATTGTATAGCGGTTATTTCAAAAAAGTATTCTCAATATTTCATGTGATTTCAAATTGTAACTTTGTCGATGATGAAACATTAATGTATTTCAATATTTCAATTTGAAAATACGAAACTGATAAGGCACATCACGATTATAATTCACGAATCTTCCTGGAGGCCGCTGAAAAATAAAATAAACAGACTCAAGACGCTTCTCGGTTTGTTTTCTAGGCGAATTCAACCATTAATGCACTGTAAAATATTTCCTATGTCTGAACATGCTATTGCGACATCTGAACGTTTGAAGATAAGCATCGCCATGCGCTATACATTCACAGTAGAAACTGATGGTCAAATATTACAAAGATAGGTATTGACTAGAGCTCAGTTATTTAGTATTTATCATGTCTATGTAGATTCTAGAATTAGGTACGGTGTTTTTTTCTGGGGAGGGTCAACTACAGCACAAAATTTATTCGTTGCACAAAAGTGCATTGTACGATTCATGACCAATATTTCCCGAAAATATTCTATATTGTATATTCAACTATAGATTCAATATTGTATATATTGAGATTGTATATTAAATAAGAGTATTCACCACCACGATACGAGAATCAAAAACCATTTCCATGTGCCACTGCGAAATTAAAAATGACTCATTCTGAGCCAGAATACATTGATCTACTCGAAATTACGAGATTTAAGTCGAAATTTCGAATTTATAGTCGTTATTTCGAAATTACGTGAAAAAAGTCGTAATTTTGAGTTTCAAAATTGTAATTTCCAAGAAACGAATAATAAAAATACGTGCTTCCATATAAAAGTAATGCGCTTCCATATAAAAGTAATTCAATCATCAAGTAAAGTTCATATTGAAACATGTTGAAAATGCAGAAAATGTGAGTTGTGACTGAAACAATGTCTCTGAAGTGACAATGGTTATAATTTTCAATCGTATAATGATGTTACGAAAGATACTTTCTGTTCCCGTTACGAAGGAAATACATAAACCAGTCAGAACAAAACTAAAAAAATTTCAAAAAAGCAATAATTGCTCTTTTCTTTAAATCTTTGGAAAAGTACTGCCAGTTAAAAAAAAACTAATTTATTTGCTTCCAACATAAAATATACTATCCGATCTTTCCAAAACTATAACTTCTTGAAAATTTTAAAACGTACAAGATGATGTGTAAGACAAAGGACGATAATTTAATAAAAAAGAAACTTCGTTGATTACGGACATTGAGAGTAGATGATTTTCAAGGTCTTAGGGTTTTTTTTCCACGTTTTCACTGATATCTTTCTCTCTCTCTCTCTCTCTCTCTCTCTCCCTTTCTTTAATCTACTCTTTTGTACTACCCAACCACAGAGACGACTCAGGCACAGTATACTATACCGTGAAACAGGGTTCGTATGATACCTACTCAGCACGTATACCGTGGAGCGATTTGTCGATATATCTATAGCCTAATGAGTGGGCAGAATACCTTTGGGAACTGGCATATTTCTTTCATGCTATTCCGAATATTCGTATTTGCGAATTGTGAAATAACCATTACATTGTGCATTTTGTGAGCCATATTTTCTTGCGAATGGGTCTGCTTTGTTTCTGTTTTTTTTTTACTAAAAATTAAACTCCTTGACACATCTCAACTCAAACAGTTGTTTTGTTCACACATATTGAATGAATTCGCTTTCTCCTGAAACGAATTAATTGATATCTGATTGAAATAGAACTGCGTCCAGGACAAAAGAGTATAGAGCGCTGCGCACTTGTCAAAATTATGTCATATTTTAAAAATATATAAAATATATACACAACTCATTTTAGAGAACCATATTTTTATCTGTGGATAGTAATTTCGTCAATATTACCAGTGTTCAAGTTTAATTGCAAAGAGATTTGTGTAGACAAAATTAGAACTGTCAACGTCTACCACATTCAGCGGTAAAGCGTCTTTAAGCTTTAATCCCTGGAAGCTGCTAGACGCAAGCATTATTTACTTGGAAAAATTCACATTTTGACTGAGTTTGGTTTGTTTGTTTAGAGAAAAATAATTTTCTTTGCCATGAGTAAAATCATGATTTTATAAGTGTTACCTTGGATTGTGCTAGATGTAAGTATACTCAATTGAAAAATGGTAATAATTCATAATTTTTAATTTGTTCAGGTCAGGGGAAAAGATATTTTATAAAAAAATGTATGAGAGTCCATGTACCCTAGAAGATATATGCTTAGAAACCGTATGTGACAATATTTTGAGCTATATTGAACCTTTGGGAACCAGAGATGGATGGTGGGAAAGCCACAGAAGCTCGGATAGTGACAGTTTTGATGAAGAAATAAAAAAATTTAGATTTAAAGATCCTGAAATATTTCTCATTGAAGAAATATCAGAGAAACTACTGAAAAAGTTCGTCGAGAAGCGAATTTTGTGTGATTCCATTCTCAATATTTTTAGAATAAGAAATAGTACATTATCAAAAATTGGCTTACATATTTTGAATCAGCACAAACTTGTCACTTTGGAATGTGTGGCTATAAAAAAAATTAGTATTGGTGATATATTAGGTAAAAGAATATGTTTTTCCAGTGAAACTGTTACAATTTTTAAATATTTCAGATTGTTTGAATCCCTGGTCACTTTCACAAATTAGGAATGTAAACTTCACAAAATGTACTTTCATTGACGAGTTACGCTTTACCTATATGATCAAAATAACGAATCTGAAGAATTTGAGAAATCTTAATCTTGCTTACACGGAACTCAACCAAACAATTTTCAAAATCATATGTGAAGATTTAATTCATTTAGAAACCATAAATATCTCTGGAACTCAAGTAACAGATTTGAGACCTCTGATATTACTTTCCTCAAAACTCAAAAGTCTCTCGATATGTGTAAGTTCAACAAATTTGACTCATGGAATGTTTTTAATGCCGGAAATCAACTTTTAGGACTTATTTTCAGCAGAACATATTGCAAGTACTTTAGAACAACTCCAACTGCTAAGATACCTTGATATTAGTTTTTTCAATGATAAAATAGAGGGTCAGATATATGCTCATTCTGGGAAGCCCATCGTGACTCTATTAGGAGATTCTCAAATTTTGACAGAACTTGAGTCTTTAGATGTCTCAGGATGGAGAGAATTTATAACAAGTTATCAACTTATTAAATTTATTGAAGCTCATCCCAGACTCAAATATTTGGGGAGTGTTCTTTGTTCTGCCAATTATGATTCCATCTTTTCGGATACTAACAAGATCGATTTTCCTTACAATTTAGTGATTGCTGGTTTGGGAAATGAGGAACAAATAAAAGTAGCACTGAAGAAATATCAAGATAGGTGAGATTACTAATTACTCTCTTATGAAATGTTTGGTTCCACTGTATTTGTTATTTTTGGTTATATTTTGGTTATCCTCAATGTTTTGACATAAGTTAGGCATCTTTATAATTAAATAGTCTTTCTTAGTCTTAAAGATACCTGACAACTCAAACACTCCTATCAGTAAAATGCTGACAAACTCAACTTGGATTACTGTGAAAAATCCCAAAAATTATTAATACTCTCTAGTGATTATTCTTTTTCTATTGAATTCCAGGTCAAATTATGTTCAGAAAGCATTATACCATTTATTTCAACTAACAAGTACTTTTCAAGAAGCCAGACCTGATGTGTTCAATTTAGTTCTACCTGTTATGGAAGCACACAGTACAGTTTTCGGTGTTCAAATGGCAGCTACAGCTTGTTTGTACAATTTGACTAGAGGTGAACTATCAAAAAACATACATCCTCGAACTCTGAGTAAAGGTGTACATTTAACACTTTATGCAATGGAATATTTTCCGGAAGAATTTCAATTACAGAAAAATTCTTTATTAACTTTATGTAGTGATAGAATTTTGCAGGATGTTCATTTTGATAAATTCAGATGTGCAAAGTTGGTACTGGATGCTCTTTGTCGTTTTGAAGATATCAACATGGATCGCATGGCAGTGGCAATATGCAGTATTTTAGCAGCTAAGGTAAATATTTTTTTTTTGAGTTTGATAAGCAGTAACCATAAATATTTTATGGTTACTGAAATTTATAAAAATTTCAAAAGTTTTTAAGTTGATTGTAACTTAATTTGAAGAATACGGTTTTTTGAAATTTAAACCAGGTGATGTTGTTGCCTTCTGATGTCACGCTTTTAATTTAGTTTGTAAATGATCTTTTTGTGTCTATCTTCCAGTTGTCATATAGTTTTTCATTTTTATAAAAATAACCCTAATGTAAACATATATTGCATTGTCGCTAACATAATATTTTATATATCACTTAATTATGAGCATAATACTGTACATGATTGATTTACCAAATATTAATGATACCTAATGTATTATCACTTCTTGGGTATTCCGCATGGTCAGTGGTAATTTTTGGAATCCTTTATCTAACTGGATGATATTTTCCTTGAATATAGGAAGACTCTGATTAATTTTAGTAATATGATGCAAGAGTTTGTTAAAGTGTTCTAGCCTTTCACGAAATAAAGAATTTATGGAACTTTGTTGGCAGATGTATATGAATATTGTAGATAGATATTGTGTTTTAGTAATTATTATCTGAATAATAATAATAATTTTATAATTCCCAAGAAACATAACATATTCATAGTAGGGACAATGTAACGCACATATAAAAAAAGAACGTACTGAGAATAATACAACAAATAAAATATTCGAAAATACAAAATTGTCAATATATTTCAAAATAGATTATTTTATCTGATACTTGATGAAAATCTATAACGTATTCAAGAAACACTATTCTATAGCAAAACACTTGTTGGATTTTTGTAAAACTGTTTAGTGAAAAGCTCCCAAAATATTTCTTGAATAGATTATTTTAGTTGTGTCTTGAATTTCGTGTAATTTTTTTTTATGTTGTTAGGAATTTTATTATATAAATTAACTTCCATCATGAAAAATACATTTATGAGCAGAATTGAATTTATTTCTTTGGAACATGGGACTGAATATTTTTTTATTATTTTCAACATTATAAATGAATATGCATATTTTGAAACAGTATATTCCCCAAACATCTAAACATTCGAATGTTTGGAATATAAAGGGAATATAGAAAAGTGTTTTTCATATAATTCAGCATTCATATAAAAGTACTTGTTTCAAAATGTTTTTTTTGTGTAATTCACTGTTTATATGAAAATAGCTGTTTCATCCAGTTTGTGTCTAAAGTTACTTATTTGCATGATCTATAATACATCTTTGTATAAAGTTCATTTTTGAAATTGATTGCTTTCTTCCTTTCTTTCAAAGATTCCCACATTTTTTTGTTTCAAGATGTAGAAGTAGAAGGCCAGACACTTTCTTTTCTAATAATCAGTTTCTTATCAACTTTTCAATGATTTTTGATAGTATAGGATGAATGGAAATTGCCAGATAATTACATTTTTCATTTGGATCACCATTTTCAATTAATCGAAATTTCCCGAATTGTGTAATTGGAATTACACAATTCGGGAAATATACTTATGTATCAATGATTTTTTTCACGATGGGACTTGATTCATATTTCACTAGTTTGACAACTTTTATAGAAATCAAATCATGAAAAACATAGTCTTGGAAATATACAGAAACTATTAATAACAATTTTAGAAACAATAGAACCATCTCTGAGAGACAGACATCCAACGTAAAAAAAGTAAAGTATATGATACACAATATACAATTTTTTTTCTCCATTTTGATCATATGCAGCTGAACCTTTGATTGAAATTGAACAGATAAAAAAACTGTATCACTCCAATCAACGCATGGCTGTGTTATTACTCTATACATAGTTTGTATTCAAGAAACAAATTTATGCAGTGTAATTCTTTAATCACTGGCAGTGCTGCTGTTCATGAAACACATATCTATAAAGTACTCCTGCATTTCCTTTCTCTCCTGTTCTTACTGATTTAGAGAGTTGTAACTAAGTATTTACCCCATATATATTTAAGGTCGATATATCCACCAATCTACATTATTATTTATCACCAACAAAACCATTATCATAACCATAAACCCATTCATTAGACTATCAACACATTGATTCACACACTATTAGAAACATCTAACAAAACAAAAGCCTAAAAGTTACCATGATATGATATTGGATCTGAAATGTTGAAAGAAGTCGCCAGGGAGATACAACCTCCCAGAGTTTACCTAATAAATCTCTGCCTCACCAGGGGATAATTTTCTAAAATTATGAAAAGACGGATCATCAAACCATTATTCAAATTAGAAAGAATTAAACAGACCCATATCATTAATTTCGAATGTAGAAGTTTTTGAAAAAATATCTGCCATCAGTAGAGGATATCCATAAATCACATGAGGTGATTTTGGCGATTTTTTGACCTCCCACCCTCTTGGTGAGATGTCATGAGATTTGGCTCGACCTTCTCTGATCCCCCTGATTTCACGTGAGACTTTTCAAAATGGCTATTTTTAGACTAAATAGGCTCATCTATGCTTTGATTTCATCGCATCGCATCTACATGAAATGTTCATTTTTATATTAATTTTTTTTACTATTAATGTAAGTTACAAAAAGGATTTGAAGCTCTATAACTTCTATTTGATTGTGCCTAGAGGATGACAGCACGACCAGCTGTCGAAAGCGCTCGCAGATAATCAAATAGAAGTTATAGAGCTTCAAATCCTTTTTGTAACTTACAGTAATAGTAAAATACTGAAAATGAAGAAAAAATTAGTTGCATCATCCAAAATTATAATATTAAATATCAATTTTGAAATTTAAATAAACTATGCTGTTACATAAACATTTCAAAGAATAGAGTCCGATTGGAGAAAAATTTCATCATTCATGACATACAGTTATTTTTCATTAAGATTTGTAGGGTTCTGGTGTCAAAATTCTAGCATTGGGTAATAAGTTCTTCAAGCCATCTGAATCAATCACTGAACCAAGCGTTGATATAAAATGTCACTTACATGGAACTCTATCATCTTTAAGGTGTACTTTGTCGAAGTTTCAGGTTGAAAACTCTTGTCTTTAAGCCTTATCAGCATCTATTTGTATGAAGAAGTAGGAGAAGTATAAAGTGAAGAAAGTCAAAATCATTTGAATATAAAAAAAAAAATTGATTTTTTTTCACAAATTTTTTATTAATACCGTTTTTGAAACTCACAATGGCAGTAATTGCTGTAAAGAATAATTCAATAACATTCAATAATAATCAGTTAAGTCCAGTATATACTTTTCTATTGTTTATAAATATTTTTTAGTTTTTTAATGTTTCAATGACTAGTAAAGGAATTACTTTTTCATTAAACATCGCATTGGCATTTTTCAATAGGTAATAAAACAAATTTGAATTAATAATATAATTGTTTATTGAGCCATATTTAAAAAAATAATAAAAATCCTGTGAATTATTCAGAGTACTTTTAATGCCATATAACAACGGCCGTTTGATTTGTTAAGGAACAAAATTTTAAATAAATTGAAAGGGGAAAGGGAAGAGATTAATTTTTGTAAAAAATACTTTTTGACTTTTTACTGCTTCATATTTAAATATTACTGGAGTTTTTTCCCAACACCAAATCGTTATGTTTAACACCTCGACACGTGTTTCGATCACCAAGTGATCATCTTCAAGAGGAAGTTTAATAGTCCTTCACTTGGTGATCGAAACACGTGTTGAGGTGTTAGAAATAACGATTTGGTGTTGGGAAACAACTCCAGTAATATTCATTACTACACCAAAGGTTCCAAACAGTGCATCATATGCTTCATCTTTATACAAATAGGTACTGACGAGGCGGTAAGACAAGTGTTTTTAACCTGAATCATCGACGAAGCACATCTAAAAGATGATCGAGTTCCATGTAAATGTACGAACTGAATTGAAAAAAGTTATTTTCGTGTAATTTAATGTTTACATGAAAGTAGTTGTTTCGGAAGAGCTTTTTCCTTCCGGTGTGTATCTGTAAAAAAATTCTATGCAGGATACATACATCTGTGTAAAGAGTTTATTTTGAAATTGTTGCCTTTTTTCCTTACAACGGAAGTTTCTCACATAGATGAAGTAAAAAGCCGAAAGTTTTTCCCAAAAACTCAAATACTATTAGAGATAATGACTTCAGGTCGTTTTTATGATGGAATCAATCAATCATTGAAACGAGTCAAAAACCAAGTTTCTAGTTATTGTGTAGCAACTGTTATATCAATTTCTTTTATAAAAAAAAGTGGAAATACATATCATATAAAACGGTACACGAATTAGATAAATGTTGATTAAGACACAATATTTGAAAGTGGTTGAGATGTTTCATGGTGAATTTCTATAGTTCGGACTTCAATTATCTATTATGATTGTACTGTGATTCGAAATCTATGAAAGAACAAATACAATTAGAATGAATAGCTAAAATAACAATTATATTAAGTCATAAAACCTGAAATGAAAATACAAAAAAACGAATATAATAATCAAGATACAAAATGAAATTGACTACAGAGTAAAAAAAAAAAATGAAAATAAGCAAAATTATCTTTACGCTAACGTGGCTAAATGTGTCGTTGGACAACATATACGCAGCTTCTTTGAACTTCCTTTTAAACCAGTGTTCCTCCCTGTGTATGATCTCAGCTTCGGACCACTAATCAACTCTAACCTACAAACTTCATCTTGAACAAATTTTCAAGAATGATTAGTGTTTTATAAAAACGACCTGAGTGTCTATTATCGTATCTCTAATAGTTAGAAAGTTATATTAGTTCAAATTAAATCTTGATAGTTTTTGAAATACTAACAAAAGACCAAATGCCATCTTAATTTTTTGAAAACAACAGAAAATTTTTATGTTTAAAAATCTGTTTAAAATATGTTTTTCCGTTAATCAGCTGTCGCCCCCATACGAACGACAACTCTCAGAAGTTGAGAAACTTGTGCGAGCTAAGTAAGGACTAACGAGGTCTTACCTTTTAACGTGTGATTCCTAACACGGTTGCAGAATCATTCCAGTTTCAAACAGATAAATTCTCTCGAGAAAAATCTGGTCGAGGCGGGAATCGAACCCACGGTCTCCCGATCGTGAGTCGGGCGCGGCCAATTCCACAACTGTGCTGTACATCATTGAAAGACATTTTTCTTTACGTCATTCTGAATCCAATTAGCTATCACTAGTACTTTTAGGAGCTTTATGTCTAATTAACAGGAATTTTAGTTTGTGTATGATCAACCATTTTTTCCTCAACACAGTTTTCTCGTAATTTCACAGTGTTTCTTGCAGTAAAAAAATTAACATGGAATTTGCTGGGATTCCCCCTCTGGATGAAGTTCGACTCAACTCTCTCCCCTCCCTAAAAGGCTCAAAATTTATGAACGCTCCTGTATGGTTTACAGCAAATACATCTGACCGATGTATTTGCTGTTGCAATCTTGACAACTGATTTCGTAAATACCCGACCTTTCTGTGTTTTCTAGTCTATCTTTTGGATTACCAAGAAGCTGTTGCAATTTAAAAGAAGTTTTATATGCAACTTTCATATTTACTTTATCGAATATCTGTTGAAGCCCTCTCGTGTATCGGCCAGAGCCGACGAGCGATTAAAACCCGCTTCAAAGAGCATTGTGCACACATGAAATACGGAAGGATAGAAAAATCCAGTGTCGCCCAACATGCTCTAGACAAGGACCACAGAATTGGTGAAAACAATCTGAAAGTGATTAAGCATGTGCATGACACCAGGCTAATCGATGCATGTGAGAGTCTAGAAATAGCAAAATGTAAGAACAGCATGAATTGCGATAAGGGACCCATCCCGTTTAGCCCGCTTTTTAATCTTCTGTTAGGAAGAGAATAATTACTAAGAACTTGCAGGTAGTTAATTACCGAGAAATTACCTTTTGGACTTCAGGTATACAACCTCAGGTAACAAATTTTTGTATATAAGGACTAACCAGACTAGACTACGTATCAATTTTCTTCTCCTGAGGATGCTAATTTTGTTGGCGAAACGCGCGTCGAGTGCAAAAATATCAGTTTGGTGTTAGGGCAATTGATCTCGAAAAAAGTTATTCAACTTTGACACCAAAGGTTCCAATCTCATCGTTATCCAAGGTTATATGTCAGAAACATTAAAGATTAATAAGTGCACGGAGGTGTAGAAGTTTTTTTCATGATGTCAACCAAAGAAATATGATTTGAGTATCCCTTTCTTCCCTTACTATTGCAAACTTCAAAAAGTATTCAGCATAACATGAAATTAATGAATTATGAAAATACAACCAAAAACCCACTCCTTTACCAATAATAAACATTATTATTATTATTTTCCCAAAGGGTAAGGTGGTCGTGTCCTGAGCCCTAGGCAAACGCTATGAGCCAAAAATAACAGCCTTCTGAATTTGTCAAGGCAGCCAAGATTTCTGCCATCATGCGGCAAGCCGGCATGATATTGAGATTCGATAGTAGAGAGGGCATCATTCCAACAAGGACCCCAATAATTAGAACAACCATCTTAACAGACTGGTTGGGATAGAATCTGCAAAGTTCTAAGGGAAAATCTATATATTTCATTGATTTTTCCTCCTCTTTTCGGACGATATTCGTCTCACCTGGAGCAGAAAACTCCACTGAGGGTGAGGAATGAATAATTCCAATAAATTCAGCACTTCTCATTTTCCACAATAGATTCAATATCACCCGGAGCGTAAGGCAACACTGGTGTCTCGTCAATACCATAAAAGTGCCATAGATGGTAATGAAGTAATCTTAGGGCCGCGTTATATTGATGGATATAAGCTGAGACCGCATATGCTTAACATGATGACAGCAAGGACATTATGGTGTTAGGCGCCTCGCACCAGGTCCTGCACCTTTTGTCAGGAACCTCTAATCGTCAATCGACTTCAATAGACTAAGGTGATGAAGACACCATCCTGGTAGGCCATGATGAACCTCTCAGCTTCCAACATCAGCCCACTCGATCTGAGGAAAGTGAAGGTAAGGTGCTTTGCTAAGCCGAGGTCTTCAATGTTTTTAAAGAAGACCCATGCATTGGATTATCCTTGTGCTGCCGCAGGAGTGGTCTCTGCAGGTTTTATGTGGACCTTTTGCTGAACGAGTTCCAACTCGTGAAAGAGTTGTGATCACCTCGTTCAGTGTTGAAATCTAAACCGAATTTATCAATCAGCCGCTAAGGCAGCTGCGCTAAAGAGAAATGCTCCAATTCCTGCTTTCTTATGGTTGTGGGCCATGCAGAACAGGGAATCAGAAATCCTGATGACTTTACAGACTCCATTCAGTATCATTCTGTCATGTGCAGACTCCAAACTCAAAAGTCCATGGCCTTCCTGTCATTATTATAATTATCCATTGCTTCAGTTATTTCTGAAAAATAAATGAACCATGTGTCAGACTTCTCTGGTGGATTTTTGTTTTGAGTTTTCATCTAAAAATTACATTTTTAAGTACTAATTTCAATTTATTTTAAGGTTTCAACAGAAGAAACCTCTGTATTGGGTGCGAGACCTGAGTATATGGGAAAACTTCTTTCAATGGTGAAAACCCGAGTGGACACCAAAGCAGCTGATATAACTTTGAAATTCACTCTAAGTGCTCTCTGGAATTTAACTGATGAAAGTGCAGCTACTTGTAAAGTATTTCTAGAACAGAAGGGTGCCTATTTATTTCTGAATGTTCTGCAGGTTTTCAAAGAAAATTCGGCCATAGAAACTAAAGTTTTAGGTAAGTTTTGTTAATTTATTAATTTGTGTAATTTATGATTTGTTTATTTTGTGGAAATTCATGATTGATGTGTGAGTTTTACTCAAAATGTTTTTACCGCAATACATTTTCTTAAGCCAGAACTGTAAGAAATATCAAGAATAATTTATTGAAGAGAAAGTAGAATCACAAAAATTACAAATCAAGTTAAACAATATGCACCATAAAAACAAAGCAACTTCATTAAACTGACAAATATATTTCCTGAACAACTTTCTGTTCCTACCAACTGACTCTGATATTCATCATTTTGAAGTTTATTTTGTTCGAACTGCATGTGTTCTTAGAGAAAAAAAATTGGTGTTAAGCCTAAAAGTTGTTCATCTTCCTAGGTCTCTTGAACAATATTGCAGAGGTAGCAGCACTTCGGGAAAGTTTGATGATGGATTCTCTGATGGATGAACTCTACATTTTATTGAAATCTGAAAATATCGATGTCAGTTACTTTGCAGCAGGAATCGTTGCTCATTTAGCTTCTGGAGGAGATAAACAATGGACTTTAACAAGTCATACAAGAGATGAGATGTTGGAAGGATTAAAAGATGCAGTATCGCAATGGAAGGTTCCTGATAGCGAAATGGTTGCTTATAGGAGTTTTAAACCATTTTTTTCACTTCTTAGGACTGATACTGATTATCAGGTGCAGATGTGGGCTGTTTGGGCTATTCATCATGTGTGTACCAAAAATCGTAAGTAATTTTTTGTCATATGTTGAGAATCAGTTTCATCAGATAAAGAGTTTCATCTAATCTCATCAATATAATCATCTAACAGAATTTCCGTTCTTGTGTTTTCAATGGAAAAAAGTCTTATGAAATTATCGGTAAAAACACAATTTTTAACGTTTGCAACCCACTTTTTAAAATAAGACTTATTATTTCTTTTAATTTCTGTTATTTTTATTTTTTTTTTGTCATTATCTTTATGTATGTTTATTTTCTTTATACTATTTTAACGTGGTGTACTGACATGTCCTATACGTTGTTAACGTCTCATTATTATTATTATTATTATTGTAGAAACTTGGGCTAATGAGGAACTGTTTCATCTTTTGATTGAAACAATTGGGGAACAAAGATTTAACTTCCCTAGGCAAGTGATTATAAATAATTATATTGGGAGAGTTACTCAAAGCTTCATTCAATCTATATCTTATAGGTCTACCACTGAATTCAGCTCCTTTTAGCTAGTAGGGATGTGTGGAGGGATTATGTCTGTACAAGATAAATTGGGAAAATTGCAAAATCATGTTTATTATTGATTTTCGTAATAGTCAAGTCAAGATGATTTATTGAATTATTCACCTCCCTTTTAGTGGTGAATTTCATTGACTGGTGAATGGAATTGACATATTTGACAAAGATATCATCAGACTAAGATATCATCTAAGTATCTGTACCAGTACAAAAAACTGTTAATTAACTGATTTTCATGGATTTCATTCTCTAGATTATCAATGAAAATTTCAGCCAGTTAATGACTCAACGGATTTCTCATTATTAGTTCTTCGCTGTATGAATAAAACTTTTTGTCGAATTGGAATTCATTTTGAGATTGACAAGTAGTAAGTAAATTTGAAAGTTCCTGTTTTATTAGAGGATTTACATGGTTTTTGTCTAAAAGACAGTAGTAGGTTGTGAAACTGTCTTCTAGTATACATAGGTGAATTTCTATACCGACTAAAATTGAATTCTGGAGTGAGAAGGTAATCATAACCTCTCATAGGATATACATTTACATCTTTATATCTCCTGAATTTTCTGACTTCGATATAGTTGTAAATTAACAATTTTTAGACATAAATGCAAGTTAAGTTGTTTTCCAAGAAAATCCTTCTAAAAGTTTCATTGATTGCAAAGTAGATTTTATTCAATTCTTTACAAATAAAGTCAACTTGTTCACTTAGAATCTATTATTGTGTCCATAAACTTTGTATGTTCTTTAGAATACATGAGACATTCGTTAATATTAATATTCAATGTGTTTGTATCTCCGTAAGATGATCAGGTGATTTTTTTGACCCCACTCTGAGAAACTTTTTATTACTGAATTGACTCTTTGTTCAATTTCTTGACTACTTTTCTCGGTAATATAGTAGTATCGTCAGCATAAAGAAATATTTGGTCATACTCAATTATATGGGCAAGTCATTGGTGTACAAGCGAAAGAGCAATGAACTAAGTACTCATCAATCTTAACAGATATATTAGATAAAAGTCAAGAGTTTATTGACCCCCTTATAAATAAATACAATTTTTAGAAATTTCAAGTTAATTGTAACAAAAGTTCACATTTATTTAATCAAAACATTTTTCTATACTTTAGTATTTTTCATCTAGATTTTCATAAATATTCTGAATTAAAGCAGCAGATATCGTTTCTATTGAGAAGTTCTATCGAAACTCATGTTGGCTTGGTAAAAGAATTTGTTTGATAAACTACATCTTACGATTTGATCTCCACAAACTTTATTTTTTAAAAATATCACATGTTTTGCTAACATAGTAGCTTTTTTGTAGTGAATTACGTACTAAAAGTTCATTCTTAGTTTCGATGATTTGTAGAGGAAACACGTTGAAAATGAGTGATACCTATTGACGGTAATTATAGAATGGATCATCAGATGTAACTAGAAGAACCCAATTTGAGTTGATTCGTAAATGGCGAAATTTTTCCAAATTCCTTCTGCTATATATCCTGCCTTGTCATGTGCATGTTATTGGTTTGCAGTCTTCTTCAAGAGAATACATGCATAGGACTGCATCATGGTCAGATAGGCTAGTTCGAAGGCCATCGTGGTGTCAAGATGTATAAACCTCTGAAGAAGCCAGCCACTCGGGCTGGCGAAACGTTTGGATACAGTTCCAAACCACGACGGCCTTCGAACCCGAATGAAGATCGTAACAATGAAAATCTCGGCCACGAAAGCTTAAATCAATTTACTAGATAGGCTAGTGTTGACTACTTTACAACTCACTGCTTCCCTACCCCATATTCAACTAATATAATCGAGTAAGCTTGAGGAATATTTACTAAGCCTTGTAGCTTCTTTAACGTGCACTGTTAAATTAAAAGAGCTTAATAGGCTTTCAAGTGATGATTTGCTATGCAATGTTTCATTTAAAATATTAACATTAATATATCCTATCAATAAAATCTGCATTTACGGAAATACGACATAAAAGTATTTTCAATCTAGTAAAAAAAATCAGAATTCGTAGATGGAGATCTATAGATACATATAATCTAAGTGTCAATATTTTTGTAGAACCCATCGTGAACCAATTTTGAGATACATACATGAATATTCCTGGTACGACTTTATTTTGATACTAAAATATAATTTTGCAAAAATAACGGTTCGTCAGACTTGAGTCAGTAAAATAATTTTAGGGTATTTAGGCTTTCTAGATATATATCTGGTTTGTCTAATGTATTTCTAGTAGATTGTGTATTCAATAGCATGACCTTAAGGTCATTTGTCGACTCTCCCGAAAAAATATTTTAGGCAATTCTTTCTCTCCTACACGGTTTTTTATTGCTTTGCTTAAAAATAATTTTCCAGTTGCATTCAAAGTTTTTTCTCCTAGGTAATTGCTTTTTCCTCAAAATATTATTGCAGTGAAATAAACAATCACCCAAATTAGTTATATGTGCTGCTTCAAACATATGAAGATTAATTTTGTACTGATATGGATACTGTACTGGCAGATATAAAGAGAAAAATTATTTAAAGAGGTCAATGTATTTGAGATAAGGCAGGCTTACTGCATCATCTTATTAGTTAATGTGAAAAACAATAAAATACAACTTGAATCTGTTGATCACCATTGTAGTACCAGGAAAAAACAAAACAAGATACGTAGATCGGAAAAAGCACTTGGACAACGATGTTCAAATTACCTCGGACCTCGCCTACAAAATATGCTACCAGAGTTTATAAAAAAAAAAGTTCTATTACGTACAAAAAACGTATAAAAACTTGGATACTGTGTTCGGAAAGGACATTGTTCATGGTTTTGTCAACCAAACTTTCAAAAAGTGATCAAAGTTAAAACACCAATCGTTTGTATAGGTATAGCATGCATATTCGGAAAGCTGACAACAAAGTAAATATGAGACAATACCCGAATATCACAAAGCCCAAATATGACGTTCCTACACCTCAATAATTATTACAAACACACCTACTGAAAACGACACTCACCCTAAATATGGCATTTAGTATAAGTATCACTAAATTGCTGGAACTTTCATTTGGTCATAGATTAACTAAATCGTCGCTATTCAAGACCACTGCCTTTTGATAGGCTGTGTATATTAAATCCCGGTCATTAGCATATGGTTTAATAAAGGATTCGATAGTAAAGTTGTTCCCTAATAGATTATGCAAGTAGATGGAAAAGTTTCTATCTTTGGAATAATTCACAATTATAATTTACCTTTTTCTAGATTCGAGTCTAATCAATATTTTATCTTCAAGCCCCAACTTGGTTATTGACGTCAAAGAAATGATTTCTTTTCTTATGGCTTTCATATCTTTATGGTAAAGATTATTTTATTCTTTTAGAACACATATTCTAGTCAGCATGTTATGTTGCATAGTATTCAGCTCAAACATTTATTTTATTAATTTGTAGCTTTTCATCTGTAGTTAACTTTATCCCTGATTTGGATTGCAAGATATTACTATTCTTTCCCTCAGTTTATGTTGAGACCGTATTTGTAGATTTTCTATCTATTTCTTTAATCTTGTCACGCAGTTCCAGAATTTCTAATTCATAGAATATGGTGCTTTTCCATTGTTTTTCAATGAGCTCATTTATTTCTTCCTCCATCTGCGTGACTTTCTTGAGAAAAGTGTTTCACCTTCCTTTTGATCAAAAATAACAAATACATCGTCTACATATCGGGACTAAGTCCGTGGAAAGTAATCTAACCTCTCTTTTGCTTTTAATTCAAATTGCTCGTGAAAACCTTAGGGATTCGAATGTGATACTATATGAAAATAGTGAAAAAGCAATTAGTCCTGTAGAAACTGTAAATATGCTAGGAATTGTTCTAGATAAAAAATTAACATGGAATCAACATATTTGATACCATATGTAATAAACTGAAGAAAAGATGATATTCTGTTAGATTCATGTCAAATCATTGCAGCTCTAATATACTCTTGAAATTGTATCAGGCTAACTTCCATTCACACCTTTGATATGGCATTCTCAACTGGGGTATGACTGCTTCTGTTAAAAGGATATCTCTCCTCCAGAAATATACAGTTAGAATAATAGCTAAGCTAGGGTATTGTGATTCATGTAGAGATGTGTTTAAACAGTTAAAAATTCTTACAGTTGCCAGCACCTACATACTAGAGGCTAGTGCATACGTTTTCAATAATAAATCTAATTTTCAGTCCTCTCTTCCAAATCATAACCACAATACTCGTTCGAAGGATCTAATTGTACCAAACGCTCACAGTAAATTATACAATATGCTTCCAATAGCTCTTAAGAATTCCCCAAATAATAATGTGTTCTAAAGTCAGCTGAAAAAAATGCTACTTCAAAGGACTTGTTACACCATTCAGGAATTCACCAATCAACTAACCTGAGATCTTGAACTTTAGCACTAGTGTCCGACCGAAACTGGTTTTTGTGACCGAAACCGAAAACGAATTTCGGCAATGGTCTTAGTTTCGGCCGAAACCGAAACTTCCTTACAAGTATTATGTTTTGAGGAAAAAATAAAGAAAATGTTATTATAATCAGTCAGTCTTTTTTTTTTATCTTTAAATCACAACGTTATGCACTCTTCGATATTTTTACTTATTGATAATTAACATAAAAAACCCTTGTTCAAGAAAAAATATCAATTGCACCTTAAAAATACTTAAAATAGGTGAGGTGTTCATTTGAGTAGGTGTAGATTCTTCTTTTGAATATTATTGATTCGTCGATTGTATGAAATTCAACGCATCGAATATGACCGATCACAGCTCGGGAACTTCCGAATGAAGTTTCGGTTTCGGTCGTAGTTTCGGCAGGTTTGGCGCCGAAACCGAAACCCGTTTTTTCGGTCGACCGAAACCGAACTTTCGGTCGGACACTATTCAGCACATTTGATTAAAGTGTTTACTTTCAATACTTGAGAAATTGTGTGTTGATTATATTTTATTGACTTTTTTATAGTCTATAACTAGTTACATTTATATGTTACTTTTATTACTTATGGATGTTTATCACTGTTTGTGTTATTGTGTTGTTTATATTATTTTGACAGACTTATAATATGGTTACATATTATTTGGACTGACTTTTATAAAATGGTTATTTACATTTATATGTTTTTACACATTTACTTTTATAATTGACATTTTCTTTGTTTATTGTGCATTGATTTCTGTCAACTGTACTTTTCAACCAATTGAAGCATGTAAAAAAATGAATATTTCGAAATAAATTTCGAAATATTAATCTCTCTCAACTTCCTACACAGTAGGGTCTGTTTGAACGACAAACATCTGCGAGGAATCTTGCATAAATGTCTGTCGGATATAATTCAATATCCGGCATGGTATTAGCCAGGGAAATAGTAATGAATATTACTGGAGTTTTATCCCAGCATCAAACTTATTTTCAACACCTCGACATGTGTTTCAATCACCAAGTGATCATTTTCAAAAGGAAGAGGAAGTTTAATCTTCCTCTTGAAGATGATCACTTGGTGATTGAAACACGTGTCTAGGTGTTAAAAATAACGGTTTGGTGTTGGGATAAAACTTCAGTAATATTCTTCAGTAATATTTATATTTTTTTTTAGAATGTGTTTCATTAATCAACTAACTCCTCTGAATATTCTGGTTCTATTAATGTTTAATACCTTATTCACATTCAAATCAGTTTCCGACAAAAAGTATTTCTTAAATTGAATGTATTCATAACAACTTTCACTAATTGATTGCCTAAATTAGTTCTTCATCACAATTTTTGTGTTATTAGTGCTTTAGTTTGATCAGGTTTTTTATTGCATAAAAATCACCTGACTTGTATATTTCCTCCAATTATCTTCCTTTAAGATATGATGAGTTGATTAGTTTGTGGCATTGCTTGCAGATGAGTGTTCATGTCTTCTAAATGAAAGGTGTTCAGTGAGTAGTCCCATATTTATTCTAAGCTCCCTACTGGTTTGAAAAAATTCCTCAATTCTTTCCCAGATGATCTCAGTATGAAGATAATCCTGTGTGTGTTCCTTGTATTCTTTTTGTCATTGACCCATTTCCTGACCCATACCAATGATTTTGTTATTCTCCTATTGGTGAGTCAACTTCAAACTGTCACATTTTTCTTTGTTTGTTGACACCTTATTATGGAAATATTCATAGTACCACTAGAATTTTTTCAGGCACAATATTTTTCATAATTAATTTTCATTCGATATTCTTTTTTTTTTTCAGCAAAGAGGTACTGCAGAATGCTTGACGATGAAAAGGGACATGTCATCCTGAAAGATCTCATACTCCACAAATTTTCACATCCAGAAATAAAAAAAATGTGTTCTCTCATATTGGAAACACTTGATGTAAATGTATAAAAAGTCATTATATTTTAGAAAAAAACCATTTGCCAATATGACTCTATTGTGATCGGTATTTGATAGGATTTTTGAATATTTTATTTTAATATGATTTATTTTTAATGCAGCTTTAAATACTTTTTATCAAATCTGAATATATGAATTATATTGTGTAATAGAGTTTTGTTATGTTTTAGAATATTTATTCTTGTGAACTTTGTAAATCAACTATATGTACAGAAAATGTTTGTTAGATTATTGTAAATAAATCAGGTCATTTATATACTAGTCAGAATAAATTGTTGAAAAAACACAAATATATCACTTTCCGGCAAGAATAGAGTCACAACTAAAAAACAAGAAAAATAAAGTCTTCTATAACTCAAGAACGAGCAATTACTACAGCATATACTTTCATAATAGAAGAATTGAGAGTTATCTACTTACTTTATACATTTTGAATGCTCTTATATTTTTTTCAAAACTGGAAAATCATAATTCAGCAGTTTTATATTCTTGTCGGGGTGCGTTATGTAGACTGCTGATATTTTTTTTTATTTTTCCCTAGTTGATGTGGATAATAATATAGAAGTCTTGTTTACTATTTATTTTTCTGAATATGAATGCCTAGTTTATGTGATTAAAGATTAAGAATCAATACAAGTAAAAAGTTTAAAAAAATTAGTTGAATGTTACACTAATAAATAATAAAATTAGAATAAATTCTCTTAGGTGATTTTCTGGTATATAGGTAGTTAAACTTTTAATTTTTTAAGTGATACTTGTATAACTATGGTCTAGGGACAAAAAACAAACCATTTTGATTACAAACCAAACAGATCACTATTCAGATTTTGTTAGAGACAAAACCACGACATCACTAGGATTTTTATAAATATTTTTGGATCTGTTTTTTCCACCAATTGAAATCTTGTGCTCCAAAAGAAAATGAATTGAAGATAGGATTGTAGGTAGTGCCAGTCTTTCTATCCAGAATGTAGGTCCTGCCACATTTTGCAATTCGTGATTCCAACAAACCTATACTACTTACTATATAAAATATAATCATTTTATATAGTAGACAATGGAAGTCCGAACTAGTGAAATTTAAAACATTGGAGTCGTATAAGAACAAGAATTTGAAAGACTCTGCATGGAGGGAAATATGCGTTATATTAAAAGAGGGATTCGAGGAAATGGAATAAAAGCAACGACAGGAGTTTGGTACCAATACAAAATTATAAACGTATTTACGTCCATCTTGCTAAAATACTATACGAAAAATGAATCGAGAACCAAGAATGTGGCCTACTTTCAGAAACAAAGCCTTCTGTATGAAACTGTCATACGGTTTGCACCGATTCGTTAAAATTACCGAAACGGTGAATTAACCGCATCGTGTGAACGGACTATAAGACTATAGCGTATAGGTTTTATCACACTATTAGTATCAGTGGTAAGTAAATAAACAGTATACTATGGTATGATGCATAAAAGCAGCAAGCATCTTTTCCTGTATAAATTACAGAAGTTTTATTCCTCATAAAATAAATTTCCCCTTTACGTAAATTCTGTTTTTGTAAATTTTTATTTTTCATATAGATATAGGTTTTGGAGTTGCCCCTCTACATATTTATTATTATGTAGACTAAAAAATACAAAACTATTTTTTCAGAAAAGAAACATGAACGATATCAAAGTGGGGCAGAAAAAAAGAAAAGGTTAAAACGAAATCTGAAAATTGCCGAACAGCAGCAAAATTCATTGCACAAATTTTTAATCGTTAGTACGAAAAATGAGCAACCTTGTACAACTTCTGGTAACTCCGAAAACCCTACTGTGGAAATTTCTTTCGAAACATGCGTCGCTGGAACATCGAAGGAAAAACTTGATGAAGAAGTAGGACAAGAACGCGGCGAAAATTTGACAGTTGAAAATTCCAGTGCCGTTCAAGATGACGAAAACACCGATTTTGATATTACAAAACTGAAGGATATAGTTTTATGACCCGCGATATTAACGGATAAAATGATTGACTATATTGTTAGAAACAAGCCAACGAATGTAAGGAATATTGAAGAATTAAAATCAGCGTACAAAGATAGAGATGAAGTTTATTATAGAGGACTTTCTCACAAACATTTTTATCGAATGAAGTCAAATGGAATTAAGGAAGACCGAGAATGGTTAAAATTTTCAGAAACAAGCAAAAGTGTTATTGCTACCCTTGCTGCCAATATGTCAAGAAAACAATCGATACTTCAGGCGCGGATTAAACAACATAGTCCTAGTGCGGCACATATCCCTTGTGCTAGCCATTCGTTAAATTTGATTGGAAATTTTGCAGCAGAAAGTTGCAACACTGCGATTGAATATTTTATGTTTGTGTAGAATTTATTTACCTTTTTTTCTGCATCAACTCATCGTTGGCAAATTTTGTGCAAACAGTTAAAAAAGTGTGAAAATGCTGTTTCGGTGAAGAGACTCGTAGATACACGATGGCAGCAAGAGCGGATGCTGTACGATCTATAAGACTTGGGTACACATATATGAAAGCGGCATTAGGTTAGGTTAGGTCCAAAGTGAGTAGGTCTATTCGACCCTACACCGCAATCCGCAAGGGTTTATTGTGGCTCACACCTATTCTCACTCGGCCAAACAAACCCAGCTTCTTAACAAAGCTGATTAGTTTATATGGTGAATGGTATATTTCAGGTTAGATGGTAAGAGTACGGCTCTGCCGAACTCTAAAGACCTGATTCGGTTCCCAGCGGGGCAGGCACTAAGCATATGCTCTGTTAATGAGGTAGTCAGATAGTCAAGTTGCAAGATTCCCATCTTGATACCCACTACAACCTTCCCATATAAGGGTTTTTGCACGTAAGCTACACCTGACGATGCCTTAGATTCATCCGTGCAGGGCTTTTTCGCCTCTGGTTTTGGTGAAACCTCACTTGAGTGCAAAGGTTTGCTAACCTGCTCATGGGGGGGTTAGTTCCCCCACCTGATGCGTACGCCGCAGCTCTCGCTCTTGAACTAAATTTACAGGGAGGTCAATTGAAGTCGTAAACTCGTCATCCATCTCCTCTGTAGACTCGCCACAAGTGATTCTGTCATTCCCGTATCCAGCGGGGCTACGTGGAAGCAGGCATCCGATGACCGGTTTGCTCAACCCCCACATCCCAAAAGCCAATGCATTCGCCGAAAACAGCATGTACAGTGGTCAGGCAGTGAAAGATGAACAAGGACAGCCAAAGCGGCATTAACTGAGATTTGCAATTCGAGCGAAAAGAAAAAAGTCACGATTATCGAGGCAAATTCAATTTTGAAAAAAATGGGCAAATTTGAAACCGCGTTGATGACAGTGATTTGGAACACGATTCTACAGCGACTAAACGCTACGAGTAAATCACTTCAATCAGTTTAGTGTGAATTGTCAAAAGGTTCATCTCTCCTGAGGTCTCTGTACAATTTTATTGACAAATTCAGAGATGAATTTGAGAAAGTACAGGAAGATGCAACTGATTTGTCAGGCCTGACATTTGAAGAAGACGGACAGAGTAGACGACCTCTCAAGCGAAAAACGTTTCATGACGAAGTGAAAGGAGGTGAACACGAATTTGGAAAAGGAAAGAAGGAAAATTTCCTTGTAAATTCATTTTACGTTATATGTGACAACACCAAGGCAGAGTTAGCTCGGAGAAATCAGACATATGACGCAAACCTAAAGCATTTTATGGTATTTTTTGATAAAGCATTATCAGACGAACCAAAAACATCCCCGGTAAATACTCTAAAATAAATTTACAAGAACGAGATTGATGTGTCCAATAACTTCGAAAACGAATTAAACCAATTTCTACTCTTCCTGCAAGAAAATAACGAGTTAATGAACACCGCAAAAAATATGTACCGAGCTGCCAAAGAAATGTCATAGACTTTTCTGAATGTTGAGACAATTTTAAAAATATTTTTAACGATACCAATTTCGAACGCATCAGGCGAGAGATCTTTTTCTGCACTAAACAGAGTAAAAAACTACACAGGTCTGCAAAAATCACTATTTAAAAGATTGTTTTGATTTCGTTAACTGATCTTTGTTTTTATCTATCACGTAAGGTTTGCCTACAAAATAAGGATGAAATAATTGAAAAAGTAGAAAAAACGAGGAATTGTGGATTCATTTTTATTATTTTAACGTGAAGTAAAAGCAAAAAAACAATACTACATAGCTAAACTAAGCATAATGGTGATACACAAATGTTTGCAAATCAAGTCTTTGTAAAAACGTTTTCTTTTTCCGTCAAAGCTTCTTTTGGTACTTGTTCGGCTGTGTTCTTGTGAATTTTACCTTTTCAACATCCAACAGTAGTCTGCCATCATGTTAACATTCCACCGACCTGCGTTCCATTTCTTTTATGTCTTGATGGAACCGTTCTCCTTGTTTCTCACTTACAGCCCCTAGATTTTCGGGAAAGTAGTCCAGATGTGAGTGAAGGAAATGGAATTTGACACTCATGTTGCAGCCCAACATTTTGTAGTTTTTTATCAATTCAGCAACCAAAGTTTTGTAGTTTGGGTCTTTTTTATTTTCAAGAAAGCCTGTTATAACAAATTTAAATGAATTTCAGGCATTTTTTTCTTTCATTTCCCTTTTAGTGACAAAGCTTTCATCTTTAAAAAGTTTTCTTATGTCAGGCCCAACGAAGACTCCTTTTAGTTTATCATCGGATATACCAGGAAACTTTTCAGAAAGATACTTGAAACAATCTCCTTCTTTGTCTAATGCTTTCACAAACTGTTTCATTAGCCCCAATTTGATATAGAGTGGTGGAAGTAAGATTTTTTTAGGATCCACTAAACTTTGTATTTCAACATTTTTAACTCCAGGAATAAGACCCTTAACTATTGGTCACACGGTCACGGCTATCCCATTCACATAGGAAACTTAGTGTAACCACTTTGTAACCACTATATAGGCTATATACTACAGAAACATCGAACCCATACCGAACCTAAAAACCCATGTAATTAGAAAATTTCAGGTGAAATTTGTGACTTATCTATTGGTGATAGAATTTTTTTTATTATTTTTTCTGTAATCTGCACACAAAATACTGTTAAAATTACTATATAGTTGAATATCCTACAATTTATTCATCGCAGACCTGTGCTATTTAAGAAGTTCGATGGGAGAGGAACGTTTAAATAATATGGCTATATTATATATAAAATCAGATATATTGGATAAAATTAAGTCGGGCAAAATAATTTGATGAATTTTCAAAAGAAAAAGTAAGGAGTAAGGCGTATATTCATTTGAAATACGTATGTATATTCAGGAAAAGTGTATGTACTGTATATCAGTATTAGTTATCAAATCATATGTAAATCGCATGCGTGTATTATTTAAACCACCTACTGCTAGTTGCAAATTGGTTACTGGCATGTAAAAAGATCCATAAAATCGTTATCAAAATTATTTAGTGCAAGCAAAAAATGGCTATTCGCTTTTGTCGAAGGGCTCCGAAATTTTTCCCGCCAGGGGCCCTCAATTCTTATACGCCACTGTCACCACTAAAGTATTATAAGAATCAGTATATAAACCCATCTTACCGGTCTAGTCACAGATATAAAGATATGCAAGGTGCCCCCCCCCCATATACGAGACGGTTTCTGTAAACCAAACCATTTCTCCATTTCATTATATGTATATTTGGCTACAGAAGAAAATCATTTTGGAGTTTACACGGTGTCTCGAAAAAGTGTGACATATATCAATCAAAATTGTTTTTTAAATGGAATACAATGTATTTCCTTACACTTTTAGTCAGAAAAAAATAATATGATTTCCTATGTACCAAACTATAACCGTTCTCGAATTTCAGGTACACGAGTTATAAGACCATACTTTTTTAGAAAAACTTGAATGGTCAAAAATGTTTACAATTTTTACGGAATGATCTGCCTGAGCTTCTGGAGAATGTGCCGCTAAATATAGACAACGGATGTGGTAACAATTGGATGGAGCACCGGCACATTTAAAATTCAGTGTCGGACAGTTTTTGAATATGTGCTTTCCGAATAAATGGATTAATAGGGAAGGACCACAAAATTGGCCAGCGAGTTTTTTTGAACAAAACACAAGCACTACGGGAAAATCCAATTTGCTTCAACAAGACAATTTATAGTAAAAAGAAATTGACTTGCAGGTTTTAGAAAGGTAACTGATGTAAACACAAGGAAGGTACGGAAATAGTTTTTCAAAATTAAATTCCAGTACGAATTGAAAGATACCTAGCTGATGAGTATGACAATATTCCACTCTATCAAAACCGGAATCCGAAGGTTCCTTTTTGCTTATCCAATTATTTGTATTTTTTGCGAATGGCAAATCTCATGATAATCATCGCGTTGAGCGATCTTACATGCACAGCATGCGAATAGTTTATCTGCCATCAGATGTTATTTTCTTCAGAAAATAAAAAAATAAATTACAACTAGCCTTTCTGCGAGGATATGAATTATGTAACAAGGATTTGTCAAATCGAGAGGAAGTTACACGAACATGGTAGAATAGGTAAACTGAACTTGAGTTTGATGGTGGTTGACAATGTTTCGTGGTGTATTTCATCAGTTCGGACTTCCATTGCCTAACATAATATTAATTGATTTGAAATCCCTGAAAGAATCTGTAAAAAAATTTAAAAAAAATTATAAATAATTTTTTACAGACTCTTTCCGGGATTTCAAATCAATTCATGTTATATTAGAGAATGGAAGTCCGAACTGATGAAATACAAACTGAACTTAAATTGGAATTGATCGGTCAACAATAGTATATTGTTCTACTAGTGCGGAAAATAGAATATTTCATACGAGTTTGGCAAGATTATGAAACAATAAGAGTCGTAGGCGCACGAGTTGTACACTATACTTTTCCGACGGCCTACATGAGAAACATATGTTCCGACATACCTATATAGGTAGGTATGTCGGATTTTAATTTCGCATGACTGACTGTATTATACCTACTTACAAATCATTTTTACGGGAAACCAATTCAATTGCCTTAAGAAGCATATAAAAAAGATGTATCACACAAAGCAGAGAACAAATTTTATTGAACATTTTACAAAAATGTTTGGGTACATTTTGATCTGTATTCATGAAATATCAGAAAAATAATTATTGCTTGTAATATTTAAACAATTGTTCGGTATTAACGGAATACTATTATTTTCTTTCATGAAACTTTGAATGGCTTGTTTATAGTAAACAATTGTTTACTATTCTGTGATTGTACCAAAGAAAACTGAACAAATGTGATTCGCTACCTATCTACTTAGTAAATCACATTCACACGCCACAAGTACCTACGAGTAAACATTAGAGTATAGTTAACTGTAATAGGTAATCGCACCATTCGTAGAGCCAGGAGACCGTGCGCAATATTCATTTCGCACTAGTGCGAAATATCTAATTTTGTGTACTAGTTTACAGTGCGAAATGATACGTATTTCAAATAGGTCTTCGAAAAACTTATATTTATTCAACTATTAGCTCTGTAATAGTTTTAAAATGTGGTTGACTGGAAGAATAGTGTTTCTACCACAATACATAAAGACCATTTTGTATTATCATCATTTATTAACTATATTTGCTAGGTCATAACTTTTTACTTTTTATAGAAACTTTCGATGGTAGCCAGAAACAATGCATTTGAAAAAGTTGAAATAAGTTATTCCACGTAGCCAGATCTGAAGCCAATGCGAAGAGAACATTAAATGTGTCATATTTATGTTCTGTGATTCTATGATTTATCGGATTTTCAGTTCATATATTTCTGCTTCTTTGCAGCATTTTTGGCAGCCATTCATTCGCAAAAATTCCCGAAATTCGGACAAGTTTGGCTACTCACTTCTGTTCAAACTAACCTCTCTTTGGTATAAATAAAAAAAGTTAGTTCTGTGGCAAATTCTAAATTTGACAGTGACAGTTTCAATACTGTTTGTAAACATTAACACGTCATTCATTTTTAGTATATTTATATTTTTTAATTTTCTATCAGTTATCAGTAATTATCAAAAGAGACAATGGCTGATGTATCAGTGGATGTTTCTGGTGTGATGGATCCTCTTCAGAGTCTTGGCGATAAGAATAAATTACCTAGGTAACCTCAAGAAAAGTCGCATCAAATGTTATTTATATGATTTCCTTGCAGTTTTTTTCAAATCCCTTCAAAAATACCCGATCCAAAAGAATGGATTGCCCACCAAAGACAAAATGTAAGGCCATGGTTAGTTTTCATTCAAACGTCAAATTTCAAAGCTCCTCCTTCAATTCCTAGGCTAGGAAAGCGAATAATGAGAAATATTGAATACTTTCAAGCAAATTATTTATTTGTATTTCTAGGACTTGTTATCTATTGTTTGTAAGTTATAATTAGATAATTACTTTTACTGGGTCAGAAAATATGTACATTTTTTAGGATAACTTCACCACTGATCCTGTTTGTTCTTGCTGGAACATTCTATGCAGGTTACCGCTTGAATAAAAGGCAAACAGAGAGAAAATTGGTGCTGCTTGGGAAAGAGCTCACTATAGCTCAACAGTACGGACTTTTAATTTTGTGCTCAATGCCAATATATTATTTTGTTGGTGCTCATGGAGCATTATTTTGGGTAATTGGTGCTTCCATGGTGGTAATAACGTTACATGCTGCTTTTTATAATATTGAAGCTTTGGTTGCACACGAGGATGATTCATATCCACTTTTGGAAGAAGTTTGATTTAATAAAATCTTATGAATTTAAACCTGTATAAAACATTCTACCTAGTTTTAAAAACAAAATAGTTGAATTATAATTCAAAAATGTTTGTTTAGTTGAACTCTAGATAAACTATTTGGTTTCAACAATTGAAACTCTAGATGAAAAAGGTAAGTTTTTGAATAACCTTAATTTTTATATCAAGATTTCTCGAATGATGATTCTGTCCCAGTGCAATTAACAAATAAATTGTTTTATAAATCGCGTTTATCTAAGTTCAGTCTTTCCAGGGGAAAAATACTTTTTTCAATGTAATTACCTAGATTGTGGTGCTAGGCAAGACATATAATTGAAACAGTCATTTGAGAAACCCCATTTATCTGCAGACCAAAACTCGTAAAGAAAGTCAAAAGTGTCAATGAATACAAATCCGTCATTTAATACAATCTATGGTGTTTGCATTGTTTTTTTTTTATCCGGGACAGGTGGTGTCCCGCACACACAAGATGGGCTTCTCAAATGACTGATTCAGTTTTGAAAAATTGATTTTGATTTCAACTTATTTATTCAATATCAGTCATTATTTTAATTGAAAAACTTGTGTAAATAAAATATGAATGTTACAATAAACATATTTTTTTTATATATTTGATTCATTTATAGAAAAATTGTTGATAGTGAAATGTCAAATGAAGCTGATGAGCTGGCTATATAGGTGTGTGCATTTAATATTTATGTTGATATACGTTTTACAATACCTCAGAGAATACATAAAAACCTTGAAATGTTAGCTTGAAGTAACACCATATTTAAAAATACTTCAAAATTACTCATGATTAGTTAATCAAGAAAGCCAATCAGTAAATATATCAACATATTTGAAGGGTATAAAGGATGGGTAAGACTTGATACAAAAAAAATTTGTTAAAACCATCATCTGATATCAACTTGTTGCTGAAATTGGTATACCACATATTCTATAACCTCTGGTAGAAGTCCATTATATCTCAAAGTGGAGTGAAGTAGATTTGCAAAGAATAAAAACTCAAAGTCGTCTCCACAATTTAATGTCACCATCAGATGTTATAATGGTAAAACCATCAATTAGAACATGTTTCGAACCTGTATAGGTTCATCATCAGCGAATATTTAAAATTCTACAATAAAAGAACAACGTAACAATAGTTGATATAATGCAATATAAAACACTTACATGGAGAAGAAAATATTTTATTTTATAATGGAAAAGAAAATTATCACGTGTTACTAATGAAAGTAAAACGTATTATCTTCTCCATATAAGTATTTTATACTGCATTGTATCAACTACTGTTACATTGTTATTCTTTTATAGTAGAATTTTAGATATTAGCTGATGATGAACCTATATAGGTTCGAAACATGTTCTAATTGACGGTTTTACCGTTCTAACATCTGATGATATTAAATTGTGGAGACGAATTTGAGTTTTTTTTCTTCGCACATATGCTATGATCTTAAAAGTTATGGATATTTAAAAGAATTGTGTATAATACAGCTGGTATGTTCTCAATGAACTAAATGGACAAAATCTCTACTTACCAAATAAAAATTATGGCCTCTCAAGTTGATCCATTCACAAAGACCACAAAACTTTCCAAAAATATTTCCGATTTCTCATATAACCTTCATATGTATTCCATTCATATTGATTTTTCACACTTAGCTTCTCAACGCCTTGTTCTATCAACTTTTCAAATATACCAATGAGTATAACTATAGGTACTAGGTAGACATCCTATGAATGACATTACCAAGACTCGTGGAGTTCATTACATGATTTTCACCTTCCAATTTCTCATATATTGTATAGTGTTAATTCCTATCCAGTTCAAAGATATCAAATTAATGATCATCATTGAATGCAGTTTTAAAAGACTTTTCAGATGAAGTATCACAAGGCTTATATTTCATTTTAAAAAATCACCAATGACGTCACTTAATCAAAACCGGTGATGTAACCAGAATATACATTGAAAATAAAAATTCACCTGTTCCAGGATATTTGTTTGTCAAAAGTACATTGTTTGCGAAATAACGAATCTGTTCCATAATTTAGCAGCTTACTCTATCTCTACATCATACATTTTTAATAAAGTATGATTTTGTTGAATGAAGATTTGTCAAATTACTCAATTCTTCTTATGAAAATTCTGAACTGATCAAAAATATTAACACTTCGCTTTATAAACCAGAAACAATCAGGAAATTTATTATACTATTTTCGCATCTGTTAGTCTTCTCTAATGATAGACGATTTAAAACATATTAGAATGTTTCTGCGGAATTCACATATGAACTTTCGAATTCTCAAAAGAATTCTTTAAATGAATATAATGAAAATTAAATTTTCTAAGGAACTTGACATAAAGAAGAATTGTTCTCATCAGTTTAAAAAAAAACTAATATACCTTGAATAAAACCAAAGATCTATAGAAAATAATTTTATTTTCTCTGAGAAGGCATTATACGTCAACTATTATTAAACAGTAATCATCTGACGTTTTTCAAACTAGAGAAAATCAACGATAATTTTGTACATAACTATTAAGGAAAAATCTATATTTACAAAAGAAATAGAAAAACAAAAGGCCACTTGAAAATCAAAAACAATTTGGTAGAATAGATGTCAACAAAAATTACAAATCAATATAATTATAAAACGTTCTTAATAAAACTCATGATACAAAGGATATAAGACAAGATTTTGCTTTTGGAGCACATAAGTAAATTGAGAAATTGTGAAAATTCAACAAGAAAAATTAATAAATTAACAATGTTATATAACAGACATTTTTCAGCATAATTATTCGACAAAACATTTTTCTAGTAATAAAATATATACAATATCATAAAAGCTGTATTACAGAAATTGTAAAATTACTATACACAAAATATATACCCTGAATTATAGATGTTATTTCATTTCAATACTCAATGCAAATATGTGAATAAACTACAAAAACTATGAAACTCTTCATTCAGCTAGAAGCAGTAAGATGGACAAAAAATGAACCTGAATATCTCTAATTCTTATTGTATTGTTAATGATGAGAAATGTTCTTTCTAAAAAACTCTGGACTATTTACTTCAAAGGCACTTCCACTGACAACCACTGGTGCAGAAATTATATTAAAATTTAATTTTCAATAAGAGATCTACATAATATTACAATTTTTATTGAATTTTAGTTTTTACTCTACGAGATTCCAAAATTTTCTTAATTATAGAGTACAATAAAAGTTCAAGATGTTTTGGTATTCACTATCACACACTTTTTTAGATATTAGCTGTTAATTCTTCAATGTTTACAAAATTTATTCAATAATAGATCTCAAAATTGGGCCAGCTTGAAAATTAATGTTCAGTTCTTGGTAGTGTTAGCAGAATTTTACAGAATTAACGTAAGTGGAAATAATAGGTTTATGTTTGAACAGGTTTTAATATCAAAAACCTAACAGTTGGAAATGAAATTGTACAGTACACACACATACACATCAAAAATGTTCAGAATTCGTATTATATCATCAGATATTTTTGTACATTCACATTTGTAGACAAGGATAGTCTCACTTCTATTTAATAGAGAACATAGTCACCATATTCAAACAAAACTTGATGTATGACTAGTAATAAAAATAAACCACCGTGAGATTATTATTTTTCCTGTTCTAAATTAACGAGCCTAGACAATTTAAACTTGATGCAATTTCAATCCTAGTTGAAATTGATTCACATAAATCAAAAAATCAATTCAATGTCAAAGATATTGTTAATCAAAAAATAAAACCAGAACAAATATGAGTGCATAAAACAACTTAACGAGAGCCAGAATATCGATTTTCATATTTATTTACAAAACTTTCAAAAATGAATGTAATATAAAATGGCCATTATAATCAAATTAATACATTTTTCTTAAAAAAACAATAATGCACTGTATAGTGTAAACCTAATTTGTAAATTATATTTTTTGAAAGCGGCTCTCAAAAAACTCAAATCAAACAAAACCCATAAAAATTACTATTTTTATATTAAAATTAATTGAATGCACCTTTATATTGTGCCCGAGAAAACTTACCTCAAACAAGTATAACCCTTCAACTTTTCCAGTATATTATCTATTATAATAAAGACTAGCACTTCAATCGATAATAACGTATGGCAAAATTTTCAAAATTTCACCATCATATGAGGGAGTGTCAATGACTTCATGCCATTCTTTGAAACATTCACCACTATCAGGTACTTCGTCACCTGTCCGTTCTTTGATTTCACTTTTCACACCACCAGTGTCTGAAAAACTATATCTGCTATAACTTTCACCCGAAAAGTTTTTTACGTCTTTTGGTATACTTTCTATATTTAAATTAGGCACTACATTCACATACAAACCATTTTCTTGCAACTCTGGTCCAGGTTTTTGGGATCCTATACTAAAATTACCATTAACATTTGGTATAAAAGTATGGTGTAACCTTCTCACTTGTTCATCAGTTACACTATTTAAGTGATATTTTTTCCTTAAACTAAACTTAGCTTGACAATTATGATCTTCAATAAACTCAAATTTTCTGTCTACATCAGCTTCTACATCTTCTTCTACAGAGAAATCAGATTTATTTTCTTTGAATGTGCAACTACATCTTACACCTTCGTCGTCTAATAAAACAGACTCATCGACAGGAGGGAGCTGCTTCAAGGCCTCTTCTACACTCAGAGAAGTTTTAAAATTTGAGTTTTCAGTCTCTTGATTCTCTTCTTTCCCTTCACTTTTAATTTCGTCATTCTCTGTATCAACAACATTGACATCTTCTTCTTCCTTTTTCAAGGAAAGCTGTTGATCATTAAGCAGACTTTTGTCGTTAATCACAGAACCTGACTCTAAAATTCTTTCATTTTTCTCTAGCTTATACTTGCTACGTTGAGAATTTTTGTTTCTGTTTGCATTTGTATTAAGCTGTTGGTCAATTATTGATACTCTTTCCGTTAGCTTGGCTGCTTTTTCCATTAGATCTTCTTTAGGTTTTACAGTCAAATTTAAGGCTGAATTTGAGTTTTTATTCTGTAAACTAGCAAGTAACTCTTGTGTTGTTTTTACTTTGGAATTTCCTCTTGAAACTGCCAGTTTACTGGTGAAGGAACTCTCGGCTTCATCTAATAGTTTTTTATGGTTTCTTGAACCTTTTTTTCTTCCCCTTTTTTTAGGCATCTGCTGATCTACTAGTGGGTCTTGTTTGTCTGGAATACTTGAATTTGAATCCGAATTAATAATGATTACACCTCGTTTTGGTTCTGTTTTCATTGTGGGTATCACATCTTTGAAACTTGAATTGGAATTATCAGAAAAATCTAATTCAGATATACCGCCATTCAATTTCACTCGTTTGGCATTTATATTGTCTATGGAATCCTTTGCTGGCCGCTTTTTAGTTTTCACTTGGTTTAAATTCACATCTTGATTTGAAGGTAAACGTGTTGGTATTGTTAAAGACTGTTGTAACGGAGGACTTTGCTTCAACTGCCCATTAGATTCGGGTAAAACTGCATTTCTCCATTTCTTTACCAATTCTTTTGCCCTCTTTGATAAAGATTCATTTGTTGTTTTACGCCTCAGTTCATTTATGTATTTTCCCAATCTGGTGGTCTAAACAAAGAAAATTTATATTGATGAAAAACTAATAAGTAAATGGAAAAATTATTTGAATCAAATACAGTATCAACCAAAATACAAGGGTATTCAAAATAACAACAGGTTCATCTATAAAATCATCATAATTTCAAGTAAATAGGGCTTTTTTCAACTAGCTGAATTTATGATTGGTTTACTTCCTATAGTTTCTCGCATCGAAGTGCTGTGTAGCCTCGGGTATATTCCCTCAAAAGGTTTAAAAAGGGTAGTTGCCAGCCAAACCTACCCTCATTTTGTGCAGAAAATATACTAGATCCTAAAGAGGTTATGTGTAATTTTTGGAAGAAAATCAACTTTTTCAAAAATTGAGTATATTTTTGTTGGAAAATCCCTTTGGTTAAAAAACGAGATTTCATCTATCTATGAGTGGGTCATGAAGCATACACGTAAGAGGACTATGGTTAATGATTACATTTGAAGGTTTTTTTCAAGTAAACCAGATAGATGTCAATCCGAACATCTAAATAGACTAATCTACCAGGTCTGATAAATTTACTGGTTAATACCATATAAAATCTCCCACATAAAAATAATGATTGGACCTTGTATGAATTTACCAAGCCGTCCATGCCATACAAAAAACTAACGAGGTTCGGTAACTATTTACATTTTATACCATTCGAGTTGACTTCATATATACTATACTTACGAAGGAACTCTTGGAAAGGCATCATTTATACATTTTATACATTTAAGTGTTGATAGGTTTATGTTGTTTATTGAAGTATATCATACTACAACAGTTTTACTTTCAATTTTAAACAATTTTATATACACAGTTCAATGTAAATATCTCTTATTCTCATTGTAACACATCATTTCCTTCTTGAAAAAGGATGCTTATTAAACATATCCCAATCATATTACCTTGATTAGGTGAAAAAAAATTATTTTGTATAAAATCAAAGCAATATAAGTTGTATAGAAATAAATGTCTTACCTCCAATAATTCTTTGGTAATAGCCACTTTGTCCAATAACGATATGATTTCAACAACTGCTGGCATATCAATGACCTAACAGAAAAAATTTAAATTAACAGAATTACTACATATCTGACATTCAACACCCTGTGTGGCTGACTGTACAGTCTTTAGAAAAACATTTGGATCTATTAGTTTTTGATTCATCAATCAGGACATTTAAAAAAAGGTTTTTTAAAAAATTATCCATTGAAAGGATCCATTAAGAATATTCCACGGAGCAATAATAATGAAATATTCAACACATTACTGTCTTCTTATGTAAAACAAGCACTTTGACGTTGCGAAATTTATAACCAGTTTAGTGGAGAATTTCGCAAGATATTTTTCAATGGTAAAAACGGTTCAGAAATAGGAGATTTATCTATACCTATGGAAAACCAACGTTTATTTCTGTTCTCTAGTATATCAAAAACAGTACAGTCCACCTGGTTAATGAATACTAATGGTGTTCACTAAATCAACGAAATATCCTTAAAATCCCCATTATTCTTACATTGTAATTACTGTCCAAGGAACGTAGCAATCTTTGTGTTAATTCTGTTACGTTATTCTGCATTTAAAGTCGGTTTGTAACGTGAAAACCGAATATACGTTGAGAGAACTCTTCGTAGGTCTCTTCCACAGCAATGGCGCACATACATTGCGCTTTGTGCAGTTCTCGGGTCCGCACTGTGAAACGAGAAACATGGAGAACACGAAACGACTGAGTGGGGGGATCAGCCGAACGAATCCCGATGAGATCTGCGCATGCTCCCATGCCTTTTAAACATGACAGAAGCAAAATTCCCTAGATGACTCATCATTTTGTTACCCCTCCCATTTTGGCTGAACAATTCACTGCTGATTTTCAATCTTTTCTGGTGGAAATAATGGACATTATGAGTATTAACTCCAAATGCTAGCTTTCTTTTAACTATAGAGTTATCTTAGGAACAGATAACGTCCTAGTTCATGTGATATTATTGAAAAGTTGATAGTATTCAGGAGTAAACAAAAGGGTAGTTTCTTAGCTATTTTCATCGTTGTAGTGCATTACTGTCAAATATGTGGCGGGTAATTTGAAAAATTATAAATTTTTTAATCTTATTAAAAGTCGAACACTCAAAATTATACAGAAAGTCGATTATTGAAAGATAGTAATTGAACTGAATCGAATAATGATCCTCTATAAGTGTTTTGAATGAAATCTCTTGAAAGATAATTTCAAATTACTGATCATTTGATTTGTTTGATGGCTTAATATTTGTAATCTATTATGAACTTGCCTCTGTTGAAAATAAATGCGAGTTAAATTCGAAATTAACAAGTTCAATTTTTATGCAGTTCAACATTAAATTGGGACTTCTATTAGCAAAGTCAGAACTATAGCAAAAAGTGATGGACATTTTGTGGTTAAAGTTTTCAAAGTTGTATCTTCTTGTCATTATTCACTAATAGCTATTTTATTCGGAATCAATACTGAAAATGAAATGAGCCCAACCTTCCGTTTTCGTATTTCTGATATGCTAACAAGTTTACTCTGGTTTCACTATACACAGTGATCCGTGGTTCGATTCGTTGCATGTCACGAACGTTTTCTCATTGCAATTTAAACAGTTGGATTAGACACAGAACGAACAATATTTCAACCTCTGGTAGAAGTCCATGCGGAGTGCAGTAGATTTGCGAAGAAAAGAAAAAGCGAATGAAAAAACTTAGGGTGGCAGCATTGCCTCGAGCAAGACCGCTGCGCCCCCGAACGAAGCTTCTGTTCATTATGGGCACGAGGAGACTGGCTAAAAGCCCTCGAGTGAGAAGCAACAAGAGAGATACTTCTCACTTCTTATCAGTAAGTAAAGTTTGGAGATTATTTTTCGAACGTATCGATCACGAAGTATCGAAAATTGCAATCAAGGCTCCTGTGTATTATGGGTAGGGGAGGAAACTCTTGTCAGTTTTATTTCGTTTTACACTTGACTATTTACAATTTGTTTCCCTTCTCAAAAATCTTTTGTAATGACACATTAAAAATTTCTTGTGGGAAACGGGATGTTCGCGATATTTAAAGAATAGGAAATGAAAATGATGATAGACATCCTCGACTTATCGTTGGAATTATAGATTGATAAATAATATTTTTCAGAGTTCAAATACCTTGAAGAATTTAGGATTATATTTATTGATTGTATTGTATTTATGGTTGCTATAATTATAATTGATTGATAGGATTCCTTTTGAGTTCATCTTTGGTATATTAAATATCGACGTATACCTATATATATATATATGCTTTTTTTCCTCCCATTAGGCCTTTTTGGCATGTAAGCAGGTCGGAAATATGATAGTAAATCTATGCCATCTGAATATAAGATCATTGGTCGCTAATTATAATGATTTCGTAAATTTAATTTTATCAAATGATTTCATCAATATCATCACTCTAGTGAAACTTGGCTGAACAATAATTGTCGTACTATATTGTTACCTCAGTGGCCGATTCTCAAATCTCGGAAATCAGGTTAGGAAAATCGGTCAAATTTAAAAAGACTTATGGATATTACGATTTATTTGAGTTCCCCAGAATTAGCTGTTCGCGGACACGATGAAACCGAAGATTCGATTAATCGCAGAACTTTTAATGTTATGGGGCAAATATGATTCACAATTTGACACTTTTTAAAACGATAGAGTTTTTTTGGGTACCACAAAAACCATCCAAAATGAGCTTAAAGACAGTGTGGCATATTATTGAGGAAAATATAAGCAAGGAGATTGAAAGTGTTTCTTTTTTGCATGAGAAATTGATGAAACTAACGATATTACCCGTACATCACAACTTTTAATCGTTTTTAGATATGTCAAAGATAGCATAGTTAAGTACTTGGGCTTATAAAATATTTGTAGCAATTTTTAACAAAACTGTTATATTAGAAGAGAAAAGTAACGTTTTGTGATTTTGTGTTCGATGTATCTACGTATTACGCTGCTGCCAAATGGTTCCTATCGACAAATCTCGTCGACCGACTTTGTTGTGTCTACGGGTACTTGAGAATACCATTTTGAAATAGTACTCGACAATAATACTCCTCAAAAAATTTTCTCGTTCGACAATCTCGTTCTCCATTTGAGAATCGGGCCCTTGGTTACACTGTCGTGCGAAGGGTTAGGAGCGGAGGGACCAAACCTAACCTAGTACCTACCTGAAAAAGTCAGGTGTGAATTCATTAACACTGTCAATACATTTTTCGATAGTATACCTGGAAATATACCTAACTATTTTTACTTACAAACGAACAGATTCAATAATCGCGAATTGACCTTATTATTATCCCTACTTACCTTATTATTACCTTATTATATAACCTATCAAAAATGAAAATGCAGAGTTCTTTCTGCATTTTAATTTTTGAGACAGACAATCTTATATTTCATAGCTGATTCTTCATTCTGGAGCCCCAACTTTATATAGGACGATTGGAAATTTCTTTTCGTCCGTGTTCTGGAAATGTTCCTCATTTACCAAAAATGAAAATGCAGAAGGAACTCAGAAAGCTAGGTTATTTATGTCAAATGTCATTATTTTACCGCAGTTGGCAACCATGAAGTCGCATCACTTAATAAGGTCAATTATTCAATTCAGTTTGATCGTTCATAAGATGTTGAGAGTTTTTGTATTTGTTAATTTGTATACTCTCCAACAGATTAAGTTTCAAACCTTTCTTCTGGAAATGGAGGGGTTTGTATTCATGGTTCAACTCATGTCCCTCTGAGATTAAATGACTGGCATATGTGGTTATTTTTCCATTCTGAAAACTATATATTTGTGTTACTTCATGGGGGCTTTGAACGTTCTTCCAGTTCGATCTATATAAAACATCGGACATGATCCACACGATAATTTATACACTCCTGATTTTTCTGAAACTGTATGCCTAAGTTACGCCTTTGCTGTACAACAAATCTGAAATATTTGTAGTGGGTTGGCCTATAACTTTTCTATAACTTTTATCTCTTCGAATTGGGTAAACTTCTTTCAAAGCTTGACTATATAACTAGTTAGGGACTCAATTAATTTCAATGGAATCAAACTGTTTAATCATCTGCCAGCTAAAATAAAAGAAATCAATGCTTACATTAAATTCAGAAGAGGGATCAAAAGGCTTCTGATTGATGGGGTCTATTACTCAGTTCAGGAGTATTTTGATGATATTTTTGTCTCCTGATTCACTCGATAACCAATATTTTCTCGCTTAGCATATTAATTTTATTATTTTTTATATATTCTACTTTATTTATATATTTCTTCTTGTATTTGTTGTTTGTATTTTCAGACTTTGTCTATAAGATGTATTTTCTTCAGACAATAAAGTATATTTGATTGATTGATATTTTGATAATAAAGAATGTATCAGACCGCTATCGTAATCATTGTTGACGGCTATTTGCTTTATTATATTCAGTTCTTTATTAATTCGCCTCTGAAAAGGGCACATTTATCAGTCTGTGGATCATACTGTTGAAAGCTGCTACCTCATGCTGATAAATTGAAAAATCATGTTTGTTGTTAACTTTTGTTATTGTCAAGTCCAAAAAATTTATAGACTCGTCCTGTTCCATCTCCATTGTGGATGTGATAGAAGGGTGGAGAGAATTGATGAATTACAAAAAGCTAGTCAACTGTCTGTTCGTTCATGTGAAACATACCAGGATATCATCCACATATCTATACCAATACTCGAAACTTCTTACCAGTGGGATACTGTGTATTCTCTCCAAATCGTCCATGAAAATCTCTGCCAGAATAGGACTTGGATTTCCCATTATGAAACCTTTACAGGATGCGTAAAAAGTTTCATTGAATTGGAAGTAATTCTGTGACAAACAATTTCAATTTATCGTAAACCGGCACATACAGATATTATCATTCATAATTCGTCCACTCACCCATATCAGCATAAGGTAGCAGTTTTCAACAGTATGATCCACAGACTGATAAATGTGTCCTTGTCAGAGGCGAATTTCAATTCATTTCTGGTTCAGAGAGGAATCATCAAGACTCTAGTAGACCGTGCTTTCGGGCTCTGTAATACAAAGGAAGGTCTCGAAAAGGAACTAGGCATCATCAAAAATGACCTTCAACGGAATGGTTACTCCAAAGTGATGGTAGAACAGGCTTTAGCTAGAAAACAGCAAGAGCCCCACAAGGAAGAGAAGCCGCCACAACCAGTACTTGTACTTCCTTAAATCAGAGGATTATCGGAAAGGATAAGAAGGATTAGGTCCAAGTATAACATCAGGACCTGCTTCAGATCTGGGAACACAATCCGTAGAAGCCTCTCACAAAAACCAGGCCACCAAACGCGGACTGCGATTCCAAGAATTGCATTTACCGGATACCCTGCGAGTGCGGAGAATCATACATCGGTGAAACTAAGAGGCCATTGAAAGTTCGCATTGCTGAGCACAAGAAACACACCCAGGGAGGAGAAACCAGCAAATCCGGAATATCAAAGTATGCTTGGACTCATCAACATAACATCAAGTGGGATCAAGCTGAAATCATCCACAAAGAAGAACACTGGTTTCCAAGAATTGCATTTACCGGATACCCTGCGAGTGCGGAGAATCATACATCGGTGAAACTAAGAGGCCATTGAAAGTTCGCATTGCTGAGCACAAGAAACACACCCAGGGAGGAGAAACCAGCAAATCCGGAATATCAAAGTATGTTTGGACTCAACATCATAACATATCAAGTGGGCTCAAGTTGAAATCATCCACAAAGAAGAATACTGGTTAAGGAGAAAATTCAAAGAAGCCGCATATATGTTGTCCTACAACGCATTTAGTCGAGCTAGCATAGAGATACGTAACATATGGAAACCTCTAATCAAGCGAATAACTACCAACTCCAGCCAAACGGTCATCTCCCGCTATAATGAAGTGGAGAAAGGGAAGAGGGGATAGGTGAAAGCACTCGAATGACCTATAAATAGTCAGATCTCGAAGAAATAAGTCCAGTTATCACCTGAAGACGATTATGGATACTAACAATCGAAACGTCGTGACGTAACTTGGTTTGGGATCTTTTGATTTTTATTCTCCATTTTTTGTTGATATTTTTTGTATTTTCAGCTTTTATTGATATTTCAATTCTTTATTTTCTTGGTTGTTGCTTGTATGTTATTTCTTTGTAATTTCAGTGTTTTGTTTAATAAAATTGTTATTTTCGGTTAATCTTTTTTAATTTTTTTCAGGGATTTCAAATCAATTTATATTATAGTAGACAATGGAAGTACGAACTGATGAAATGCAGAATCCTATGAAACGAATTTTTATTTTCATTGATATAAAGAACAGTTAAATGATTGGATGAGGTGATTATCAAATTGGTAATCATAATTTTATTTACCTCACCAAGATTGATACATCGTCTAACGAAATAGAATACGTGATTATTATTCTGGTAAAAGGTAGATTATTACCTTTGATTGATTGTAATTTGATTGAAAATAAAAAACTGATGTCTATTTTTGATTTATATTTTTACATTAGTTAATTATTCTACAATACATCGTATCTATAATATCTGGAATCGTCCAATACTTCAGCATTCACCATATTATCACTCGATTCATTTTGACGATACGTATCATATCGTCTACATACTCAAGAGTAAGATTCTACAAAACGTCCATTATCGCTCTCAGAGCCCCTTAAAGGTTTTCCTGTAGTGCTTTTGTTTTGTCCTAAAAAAAAAATTCAGAACTATTCTAGTTTGTTGAAGAGAAAAGTGATAAGTCTTACATTTAAACTCAACCGGCTGGTTCATTGCGCCTAACCATAAGAAAGCAAATACCAAAAAATCTATTGAGAAGAAATTTAAAGTTTTTCAATTTCAATCACAGTAAACGCTTGTTTCTATTTTCATCCATCAACTCTTCGATTTGATCAGAATTCAGTTTGATTGATCCTTTATTTACTGACTTTCACCCGGTTAATTTCATCAAACTGTTGCCAATTTTACTGATGCATTGTCATAGGATGAACAATATCAACTTCACCTACACTAGATGTATAGTCTATACGAAGTCAATCCGAACAACTAAATAAAAAACTAATGTCCGGGTCTGAAAAGTTTACTAGCTAATACCATATAAAACCTCCCACATAAAAAATAATGACCAGAAAAAAAAAATCATACCATGCCGCTCGTACAAGAAAACTGCTGACTTTCGGTAACAATCTAGTTTTTTGTCATTCGAATGGACGATTCCAGCACCCTTATTCAGTGTTGACACTATAAAATTTTCTGGTCTAATCGACTGACATTTTCTAGGCATTTTTTGGAATAATTCAAAGTCGGAACAGATGGAATTTGTAATTTTATAGATTTCTGGATATTCCTGGATATATGAATTGAATGATTGAAGTTGATATGGACAAAAATAAAAAATTCCAGAGAATTTCACTTTTTAGGTTGTTTAATTGTTCGAAACCTGTCACCTATAAATATGTTTACCTGTTGTCACAAACATAGCATTTCAGTGTTCAGTTTGTTTTTGCCGAGTAGTTACGTTTTGATAGTGTATTCTGTAGGTGTTGTATGATGTCTTTTTCCATGCCTTTATTATTACCAGAAGATGTTCCAGGTGCCCTATTTAAAGACAATTTATTGATTGAAGAAGAACATTCAGTTGCAGAATTCCAAAGATGGTTAGACTTGTATATGACATGTGACGGTAAAATGACAGAATTACCACTATTGAACAACGTACAAACTTAAAATTCCCTAGGATTTTTTATTTTTGTCCATATCAACTTTAATACTTCGTATCATATATCCGAGAACATCCAAAACTCTATGAAATTGAAAATTCTATCTGTTCCGACTTTGAATTATTCCAAAAAAAAGGCTTAGAAAAAGTCAGTCCATTTAGGCCCGAAAATTTTATAGTGGCAACACTGAATAGGGGTACTGGAATCATCCATTGGCGTCGTATATAAAGCGTGTTTTTTATAGAGGTATAGAACTTTAAGTTGCAATAAAACGATGGATTATTCGATTGACATGAATTTTATTTATCCGAAAGATAATCTTGTGGCATTACATTTTAAATATGATTTCTGGCATATGACCGCCACGGCTGGCGCGGATGTAGTCCAATCTGGACGTCCAATTTTCGATGACTTTTTCCGACATTTTTGGCCGTAACACGGCGAATGTTGTCTTCCAAATGGTCAAGCGTTTGTGGCTTATCCGCATAGACCAATGACTTTACATAGCCCCACAGAAAGTAGTCTAGCGGTGTTAAATCACAAGATCTTGGAGGCCAATTCACAGGTCCAAAACGTGAAACTAGGTGGTCACCAAACGTGTCTTTCAATAAATCTATTGTGGCACGAGCTGTGTGACATGTTGCACCGTCTTGCCGATACCGATCACCATTGACTGTAACGTTCTGGCCACCATCGTTTTTGAAAAAGTACGGACCAATGATTCCACCAGTCCATAAAGCTCACCAAACAGTCAGTCAAAACGCTGTTTTGACATACACTTGAGGATTACCTTTACTCCAAATGCGACAGTTTTGTTTGTTGACGTAGCCATTCAACCAGAAGTGCGCTTCATCGCTAAACAAAATTTGCTTATGAAAATTGGGAACAACGGTAATCTCGTTTTGGGCCCATTCGACGAATCTACGCCTTACTTGATGATCATTTGGCTTCAATTCTTGCACGAGTTGGATTTTGTAAGCACGCAAACCAAGATTCTTCCGCAAAATCTTCCATAAAGTGGATGGACACAAATCCAATTCCTGTGCTCGATGGCGGATGGATTCCTTCGGGTCTTCCTCAATGCTACGCTGTACAGCAGCAAGAGCTTCTTCTGTACGCACCGTACGGCGTCTCTGGGGATGCGAGTTATCAATAAGAGTAAACGTGGTGCAAAAACTTTCCATGGTTAATCGAATTAACTGCTCTGATGGACGATTTTGTCGACGATAAAATGGACGTAGTGCGCGATACGTTTTCCGCACAGAACCATTATTTTCGAAATAAAATTGCACTATTTGCAAGCGTTGTTCAGGCGTGAGTCTATTCATGATGAATTGCCAAACCAAACTACTAAGAATAAATCACTTGACAGCTGTTAAATCGGTCGCCATCTTGAAAAGTAATGCCAACTTAAAGTTCTATACCTCTATAAAAAACACCCATTACTATAGATGTTATAACCGAAACAAAAACATATGTTCAATATCAGTGTTGCCAATATCAAACGCCAGTTTATTTGGGGAAAAAGCTTCCCATGACTCGAGAATAAGTCCTATGAAGATATCTCAATAAGCGTTCGGTATCATCGTCGTTTGACATAAAACAATTTTTCGAAGGCATGTTCAATAGGTTTGGTTTAAACTCATGTTAAACTAATTTCAAACCTTCTGCAGCATTTCGTGGTTTTATAAGTTTTGATTATAGCAACTATATTCATTGTTGAAGTGTTGGCATTTTCTAATGAATTTATAGACAGTTCTTGGTTGGTCTTTTTTCAATGGTGATATGTGACATTTGAAAGATGGTGAAAGTAGGCATTAGGGAATCGAAAATTTTTATGACGATGAAATTATTATAATAAAGGTACCAAAAAATATTAAACATTTTAGAATGTTCAAAGAGTGAAGTGGTTATGTGTAGAGATAAAGAAGAGCGTGGGAGCTGTGAATGCCACTAAACCACACTGTAACCACAGTATTCTTTGCTGTGGTCACTAATGTTTATTATTATTTCTCTGCATAATACGCATGCTCAACTTCGTCGGCTCGCATCCAATATACAGATATAGACCTATATTTGCCAAACTGTACATATGATAACTGACTTTGATGTCTGATACACAGAGTATCCAACATAGGAAATGTGCATGTGCTCCAAACGAAGTCCTTATTCGACTGCATTCGAGTTTACGTCAACCGAGCTTTCATTGCATTGGTCGGGATTTTATTACAATTGAAATCTATGCAATAAATCTCGCTCCTAGTTTGGAAATAATTGTTATATAGTGCAACCCCATGCGTTCTCGACGTCACTCGAATGTAGCTATGCTATAATCAATGTTATATGTCTATGCCATGCCTTAATCATTTGTTCTGTGCTCAGAGTTGTTACTCTGAGGTTCTGTGATATGATAATGAAACATAGGACGGATAGGTTTATCTCTCTCAATGTTCTTGGCTTTTACTTCCACTCAGGTACATTAAGCCATGAGGATATATTTATTTTTCACCTTGATAATATGTCAAAGCGGCCATGTTTTATTATGTTCTGATTGGTTAGATTGAATGCAGATGCGTAAACTAAGAAATTAACCGTTTTCAATAGTGAATAAGTGGCGTGTTTGTTGTTAATGAGAAAAAATACTTTATTGCGAACGATTTTTCAAAAGACAATCGATAATTGAATTGAAGTAACATCCTATTGGAACCAATATGTCTTTTGCTCGAAGTTTACTGGATGAGTTGAATGAACCTGAAGATTTTGACTCGTCGTCAGGTTGTGAAATGTCTTTTGAACTTTCCAGTGACAATCTTGGTGAAAATATGCCATTGTTCAGCCCTAAAGTTATTCATGGACCAAGAAAATTGGAATTTTCCAGATATGAAAATAACAACAGAACACCTGGACCAAAGAATCCATCATTCAGCCCTCCTTACAAAAGAGTTAGAGCACTAAGACTATTTGATAGTCCTCTCACACCAAAGACCATTATTCAGAAGTCTTCTTCAGCAACTCCACTGCCAAGAAGTAGACTCTTTGGTGACAAACCTAGGGCTGTGGCTAGCGCTTATGCAAAAAGAGAAGATCGGCCCACAGCAAACGTGAATCCTTTCACACCAAACGGTATGCAAGTATAATTAATTTGTGAAATATTTATATATTTTCACTGTTCTCTTTTCATCAACTGGAAACATTTTTTAGGTATGTTGTTGTCAAAAAAACGCACAAGGTCAATTAGATCTCTATTGGGGTCTCCGGAAATAAAACCTCCCAAATTTGATCTCAATGAAAGTGATGCATCTGATGTTGAAATTGAACAACCGACAAAAAGAGTAGCGTTACAGGTATGCTGATAATTTATAAAGATACTTTCAATAAATCTGTAGAAAAAAGTATATGGGTTATAATTTGTAGGAAAATGAATTGTAAACTCTACTAAACTATTCATTTAATTTTTGGGAAAGAAAGGTTTTGGCTTTCTACTTCTCTGTCTCTATGCAAAAAATGTGAAAACTTTCCAAAGTAAGGAAGCAATTTCAAATAAATTGACTCTATACAAAAATGTGTAGAAAATAGCTACTTTCATATAAACATTGAATTACATGAAAGAAAAATACTTTTGAAACAAATACTGTTTATGTGAACACTTTTCTCTATTTTGCTTTCCAAACAATCGTAAAATTGAATGAGATATCATTCAAAGGATTGCTACACAATATAGTAAATGAAAGATGATGTCTTATGTAATGATACTTGACATCTGTGTTTTGTTTGTGATGATCATTATTGCTCACCAAGTTTATAGTACCAATACTATCAACAAAAAGTTCTGTTGGATTTGAAACGTCAGCATTAATTTCTTGAAGAAATGTTTACCTGCATCTGAAGCTGCAATATATTCAGTTTCTGTTGTGGATCCTGCAACACATATTTGCTATTGAGATGTCCTTGTAACTGGACAACATGATAATAAGGTAACATAGCCAGTTGTTGAATACCTAGATCTACGTCTCCCACAAAATCTGCATCCGAATAAGCTTTTAACCATTTGTTGCTCCCATTGTATAAAATTCCATAACTTTTGGTGCCCTTCAGGTATCTGAAAATACATTTCACTGCTACCCAGTGCTACTTTACTCTTTCATTCACTATATTGTGTTTGTGAATAATATTGATGGTTTTCAATTAACTCTTTTTTTTCTGTACATATTCATTAATTTCTTGAAGAAATGTTTACCTGCATCTGAAGCTGCAATATATTCAGTTTCTGTTGTGGATCCTGCAACACACATTTGCTATTGAGATGTCCTTGTAACTGGACAACATGATAATAAGGTAACATAGCCAGTTGTTGAATACCTAGATCTACGTCTCCCACAAAATCTGCATCCGAATAAGCTTTTAACCATTTGTTGCTCCCATTGTATAAAATTCCATAACTTTTGGTGCCCTTCAGGTATCTGAAAATACATTTCACTGCTACCCAGTGCTACTTTACTCTTTCATTCACTATATTGTGTTTGTGAATAATATTGATGGTTTTCAATTAACTCTTTTTTTTCTGTACATATGTATACTGCTTTCTGTTGCTTAGATAATTGTGAAACCATGTGAATACTATTCCTTTAATGCCAATTGAGTGCAACTTTTGCAGAAGGACATCATGATTTACTGTATCGAATGCTTTCTGCAAATAAAGTGATAACTACCATAAATATTATTTGAATCTAATTGTTGAATTTTAGAAACTTTATCCGATATAGCTGACTCTGTGTCCCTTGACATGCGAAAACCATATTGTCTACTACAAAGAAAATCAATACTTTTTAAATATTTTAATCTAATGTTCATCAATTTTTCAATGATTTTTTATAGCATAGGAAGTATGGAAATAGGCCGATAATTATATTTTTCATTGGGATCTCTATTTTTAAATGAAGGTAAAATTTTGGCTATTTTACACAACTGTTTCAAAAGATGTATCGATAATTTTTTCCATGATGGGAATCGATTCATATTTCACTAGTCTGACAACTTTTACTGAAATCATATCAAAACACGTGGAATTCAAATTATTAATAATTTCTTCTTCTGTGGGAGGTTTCATAAACATGGTTTATAGTGTTCTCTTTTTGGGAAAACTTCTACCTGCTTGATAAAACTGAGACGGGCGCAGTTCTGCAACGTTAGTAAATTAGGAATTAAGTGTTTCATAAATTTCACCTTGATTTTTGATCAATTTTGAGCGATTGGTAATTGATTTAATAGTTTTCTTTCTTGGTGGCCAATTGTAGATTATAGAGTTCAAAGTTGTCCAAATTGATTTAGAGTAGCATTCTCAAATGGATTCTTATAGAATTCTGCTTTGGCCATTCTTATAGACTTTTTAACATCTTTATTGCTTTCATTATATTTCGAATGACTATCTTCATGGTCTGGAAACTTTCTTTTTATAGGAATATTTATCTTCTTTTTGATGCTGTCATGAAACCAAGGTTTTGATTTGTTTTAGTCTTTATTCTTTTTGTGAAACTGCAACTCTTGAAAATATGAATCAATTGAGAACAATTTAATAGAATTGGCCGATACTTGATGAAAATCCATATTAAAAAACTAATCAATACAATTTATTGTATGATTTTCATTATAAAAGGGTTTTACAAAACATGTGTCGCGGTTTTTGTAAAACCCTTTTAGAGTGAAAATCATATAATAAACTATATTGATTAGTTTTTCAACTGAGAATATACCTCATCAGTATCANCTCGGAACATAAGTAAACAGAACAGCACGCCTCTGAAATATGTCATCTTTGTTTGTCTCATACAGGTAACAGATTCATTGTCCTTTATTAGCTATAACCGATGTTGCCAAATGGTGAAATAGAAACGAATCCCTTTAAATGTTGAATGCATTATTTCATTCCCCTTTTTCAAGTATTTAAATAAAATAAAAAGGTTGAAAATGATAAGTTTAAAATGCATTGTTTTAGAGCTCTTTTATGAAAACTACTTGATTTTCGTCAGGAGGAACATTCCCCATTGTATTTAATATTAAGAATTACAGGTTCTTGTGGCATAATAATCAGTTGAAAATTTTGTTTTGAAGTGACTATTGAAATACTGGCAGTTATTACATTTTGGCCCACTATTTTTGCAGAATTTCAATTCATGGGTTCCACTGCAACACAGACAAATAGTATCGTTTCTACATTTGTAGCACTTTTTGCATTGTGTTATACAATTATTTTCATAAATTTTCAAACATTGCCATCCTATGGAAAGTTTTCCATTATTATGGTCAAACATGTTCTTGAAGAGTTTACCATCAACCTCAACATATATTGTATAAGATTGCCTTTCTTCAAAAAATTTCATAAATTGAATAATGAAGTGATCTTCATTAAAGAATTGATTTTGGACAACAATTAATTACTTCAATTGTTCTTCCGTAACTTTTTCCAACTTCACATGAGGAATTTTTATTTTTGGTTTAATACTTGATTTTGTTTCGGTTTAATATTGGTCTGATAACTTTTTGAATATCTCTTCCTGTAGTCTGTTCTTCTCTTCTATATTTCTACACTGACTTTCTATTCCACCATTGTATGTATTTTTAAGAAAGCTTATTCCAATGTTGAGTTTATTTTTTGTTGACGGTTGTTGCCCTTGCTTCGGTTTTATTGAGATGGTTTGTTTATAATTTTGTTGTTGTGGTGGGGATGGGGTAATACGTTTTTGGGTGATATGAACATAACTAGTTTTATTCTTGGCCGAAACATTCTTTTTTATAATTTTGATATTCTGAGACAATTTTTCCATACTGTCTTTATCAATAATGTGGGATATTCTCTTTGTCCAAAAGTTTTTTCAATAAGACATTTTCTTTCAAAACAGTTGAAAAATTTATTTTGTTTATTGTCATCAATATAATTCACTTGCGTGAATTCATTCGAAGATATGTCCAATGAATCATCCTTTGATTGGTTTTCTATAGACGCTTTGGTTTTCTTTCTTTCCATGTTTTTTCATCTAATTCCAAAGAAAATGTCTAATATGACAAGTTGTCAAGATGGATTTTCTTCATGGATTTTGGATTAACGGAAAAATTTCTTGAAAATGATTTATTCACAATCTTCTAGGATATATTGAAAGCACTTTTGATGATTGAAGGATAATTAATTTAAGCTAATTACTTTTTAATTTTCTAGTTGAGAAACTAACAAATGTACATCTGTGGTAAAAATTTTGTGGCTATTGATTTCACTGTGACAGACTAATCTGTCAGCTTCTAAGTGTTTGAAATGAAGTGATATCAGAAACATTGCAAATTTTGAGTTCCAACAAGAATACTGTTTCTGACCATATATACTCTTGTTAAGTTTACACAATAATAAATTATCTTCCAAGTGAAATCATTGTGGTCAAAGCATAAACATATCTTCATCAAAATTTCCATCTAGAAAAGCACTTTCAATGTCAAATTGTCGAATTTTCGTGTCCAGTGTAGCTGATATGGCCAGAAGTATTCTTATCGAGTCATATTGAACGACTGGTGGAAAAGGTTCAGAGAAATCACTGCCAGCTACTTGAGAGAACCCTTTTGCAGAGCCTTGTCTTATAACGCAAAATAGTTCCATCTGACTTGCATTTCACTTTGGAAACCTGCTTGCATCCTATTGGTTTTCTATTATTGGGTGATGTAACTAAATCCCAAGTGATATTTATCTTCAAATACTCCAATGAAATCATTGCTTTCACTCAGCGATATTTTTCGTTGCTTATGACATATGTTTGAGCTTCTATAATTGCACAGACAATTTTGAAATCTTCATAGGATCTGGATTTTTGTTGGGGCTTTGAGTTTTTTTGGTGAATAGAGTTGACAGACCTGATTTAAATATGATTTCCATCTGATATTTCCAATCTGGAAAGTTTGGTCATAGAATTTTAAGGTATTGACGATTTCCATCTTCTCTATCATCGTTCCTGAATTGAATCTTCTATATTTCGAAGCCGCAGGGATTTCATGACCACTGATGTGTGATATTTACAATATTCAGGAAAATTCTTATGCAATTATATCTGGATATCCTGTTGTAATTTATAGGAAATCGAACTGTAAACTCTACTGAACGATTCATTTAATATAATAACAACATCACACACCAAATCAACAAGCATTTCCAAGGAATCATTAAAAACAAGATCTTTCAAATGAATTGAACGTGGATTTCTGCAACAATATGAAATTAACAGTATTTGTACAGATCTAACACAGAACTTTTCCTATCATAAAAATTATTTTCATTAGATTCATTTGATACCACAGATCTCACTCTAAAAAAATATTAATATTATTTAATTTTCACTCGTTATTTATGCATGCCAAATTTTCAGGAAAACAACATATCCAGGTACCATCAAGAGTTTTTGGAATTAGAACTAATAGGTAGAGGTCAATTTGGGTCGGTTTACAAATGTATCAATAGGTTAGATGGATGTGTTTATGCTGTTAAAAAATCTACTAAACCAGTTGCAGGCAGCGTTTCTGAAAAGACAGCTTTGAATGAAGTATATGCCCATGCTGTTTTAGGTAAGTCAAATTTTTCATATTAGGAACAAGGTGGAAGTGAGGTACTGCTAGCTTTATTATTATTTTATTTTTTATTCATAAACATATAATTGGCCAGTAATCAGAATAGATCTGGTGTTATGACCTTCAAAGTATTCTTTGATTAATATAATCTTGTATTTAAAAAACTAATAAATACAGTTTATTGTATGATTTTCACTATAAAGGTTTTTACAAAAACTGCGACACGTGTTTCGCTATATAATAGCTTCCTCAAGCATAAACTGAAAGTTACTTCTGAATTACAACAATTTTATACTCTAACCTATTACCTACTCGTCTTCCTAATGAATGAATCTACCTGTAAAGGTCAGGTATAAATTCATTAACTATATCAATAAATTTTTGGAAAGTATGTAAATATACCTTACCATTTTTACCTGCAAATGAACAGATTCAATAATGGCGAATTATTCAATTCAGTTTGATCTCTCATAAGATATTGAGAGTTTTTGAATTTGTTTATTTCCATACTCTCTAACAGGTTAAGTTTCAAACCTTTCTTCTGGAAATGGAGGATCTTGTATTCATGGTTGAACTCATGTTCCTCTGAAATTAAATGAGTAGCATATGTGGAATTTATTTTTCCATTCTGGAAACTATATTTTGTGTTTGTTCCTTTATGCGGGCTTTGAACGCTCTTCCAGTTTGACCTATATAAAACATCGGACATGACCCACACGATAACTTATACACTCCTGATTTTTCCGAAAGTGAACTTTTATCTTTGTTATTCTTAATGTGCATGCCTAAGTTGTTATTGGTTTTGAAAGCAGTATTTACACCTTTGCTGTGCAGAAAATCTGAAATATTTGTAGTGGGTTGGCCTAAGTAGGTCAAGGTTCTATAACTTTTATCCTATTCTCTTCAAATTGGGTAAACTTCTTTCAAAGCTTGACCGCATAACATTTTTTGATAATAAAGAATATATTAAACCGCTATCATAATCATTGTTGAAGGCTATTTATTTATTTACGGAATGTCCATTACAGCATTGTAAAAGTTAATATAAAATTTGTATCCTATTCTCTTCAAATTGGGTAAACTTCTTTCAAAGCTTGACCGCATAACATTTTTTGATAATAAAAAATATATTAAACCGCTATCATAATCATTGTTGACGGCTATTTATTTATTTACGGAATGTCCATTACAGCATTGTTAAAGTTAATATAAAATTTGCGGTCCTGAATATGTATACCTACAAAACATAGTTTCACTACAAAGAAAAGCTATATATCGAAGTAGTTCAAATCTACTTTATTTGCATTCCTTACCATTGTTGATAAAGGGCTGTGGAATCCATAGTAACGGTAATGGTGTTTATTATGAAAGATGTCATTTGACCTAGTACCAGAGGTATTAATTTTAAAATCAATGTGAGACAAGATATCTGGTGAATAAACTTCACCAGCTAGCAACTTGAACAAAAAGTATAAGCCAATTTCTATTCTTCTGTTCACCAGAGTAGTTATGTTCAAAGATGAACATAGGGCTGGATAATCATAGTCATAATTGTCTACATGGATTCCTAATTTGTATGCAGAAGATCTTGAAAATTTGTGTTGAACAGTTTCTAGCATATTAATATTAGTTTGATAGTGAGGGTTCCATACCACCAATGCATATTCCAAGATTGAACGGACAAATGCACAGTAGAGAACTTTGAAGGCATTAACTGAAAGGTCTCTGGATACTCTCTCTAATGGTCTAGGTCTAATGAATTGCTAGAGTATGAAAAGTCTATGGAAGTATGATTTCTATTGTAATTTATAAAGAAGCATTTATTGAGGTTCAGATCCATTCCATTGTACAAAGTACATATGTACAAGGTTATTGATATCACTCTGAAGTTGATGACAATTAATTTCATTTTCAATAACTTTAAATATTTTTAAATCGTCAGCAAATAGTAGAATTTGAGAATACTCAATACTTAGGGCAATGTCATTGACAAATAGGTTGAAAAGTAGGGGGCCACAGTGACTTTCCTGGGGAAGTGTAGTGGGTTGGCCTAAGTAGGTTAAGGTTCTATAACTATTATACTATTCTCTTCGAATTGGGTAAACTTCTTTCATAGCTTAACTGTATAACTTTTTTAATAATGAAGAATATATTAGACCGCTATCGTAATCATTGTTGACGGCTATTTGCTTTATTATATCCAGTTCTTTATTGAAATTCACCTCTGACAGGGGCACATTTATCAGTCTGTGGATCATACTTTTGAAAGCTGCTACCTTATGCTAATATGGGTGAGTGGACGAATTATGAATGATAATATCTGTATGTGCCGGTTTACGATAAATTGAAAAATCATGTTTGTTGTTAACTTTTGTTATTGTCAAGTCCAAAAAATTTATAGAGTCGTCCTGTTCCATCTCCATTGTGAATGTGATGGAAGGGTGCAGAGAATTGATGAAATTCAAAAAGTTAGTCAACTGTCTGTTCATTCCTGTGAAACATACAAGGATATCATCCACATATCTATACCAATACATGAAACTTCTTACCAGTGGGTTACTGGGTATTCTTCTCTCCAAATCGTCTATGAAAATCTCTGCCAGAGTAGGACTAAGTGGGTTTCCCATTATGAGACCTTTGCAGGATGAGTAAAAAGTTTCATTGAATTGGAAGTAATTCTGTGACAAACACACCGTAAGCAAGACTAATATTTCATTTTTCACTACCGGATTGATAGTTTCATCCAATAAATTCTCTACCAGAGTAATCGTTTCATTCGGAGGAATACTGAGAAACAGATTCTTTACATTGAATGAAATCAATTTGGCATTATCCGGGAGTGTAATATCTTGAATTTCATTGATCAAATGGTATGAATTCCTCAAACTGAATTTTGATTTGAAATTGGTGTGGTTTTGAATAATTGCAATGAGTTTTTCGGATATTTTAACTGACGGAGCTGTGACGTAAGAAACTACCGGTCTTATCGGGTAGTTATCTTTGTGTAATTTAATCAACGAATACAATTTAGGTGGTTGAAGGTTCATGACTAACGATCAGAATTTTTCCGTTTCATCCATGACACAATGAATATTTTTCGAAGTTTTCTTGACTTTTTTCTGATATAAATGGGTTGGGGTCGTTTCTGAGACTATCGTACATGTCAGCATTTAGAAAGTCTAAAGTCTTCTCCACGTATTCTTCTTTGTTCATGGCTATGACCATTTTACCTTTATCAGCTCACGTAAAAACAATGTTATCTTCTGCCGATTTCTCTAGTTTCAATTTCAGATTGAACCTACCTTTATGCATCTGCTGCATTCTGCAGCAATATGTTTATGGTGTAACAGAACATGAAACTCGTCTATTAGAAAAAGGTCTCAATTACAATATTAAACCCAACATAAATTCGACAAATTTAGAAGTTTTGGGAATTGATACAGATATCGCGTTGATGGCGACATGTTACTCTATAATTTTTTGGACTTGACAATAACAAAAGTTAACAACATATATGATTTTTCAATTTATCGTAAACCGGCACATACAGATATTATCATTCATAATTCGTCCACTCACCCTTATTAGCATAAGGTAGCAGCTTTCAAAAGTATGATCCACAGACTGATAAATGTGCCCCTGTCAGAGGTGAATTCTAATAAAGAACTGAATATAATAAAGCAAATAGCCGTCAACAATGATTACGATAGTGGTCTAATATATTCTTTATTATTAAAAAAGTTATACAGTTGAGCTTTGAGAGAATTTTACCCAATTCAAAGAGAATAGGATAATAGTTATAGAACCTTAAACTACTTAGGCCAACCCACTACAAATATTTCAGATTTTCTGCACAGCAAAGGTGTAAATACTGCTTTCAAAACCAATAACAACTTAGGCATGCACATTAAGAATAACAAAGATAAATGTTCAGTTTTGGAAAAATCAGGAGTGTATAAGTTATCGTGTGGGTCCTGTCCGATGTTTTATATAGGTCAAACTGGAAGAGTGTTCAAAGCCCGCATAAAGGAACAAACACAAAATATAGTTTCCAGAATGGAAAAATAAATTCCACATATGCCACTCATTTAATCTTAGAGGGACATGAGTTCAACCATGAATACAAGACCCTCCATTTTCAGAAGAAAGGTTTGAAACTCAACCTTTTAAAGTATGGAAATAAACAAATTCAAAAACTCTCAATATCTTATGCAGGTTAAACTAGTAAGGTATATTTACTTTACCTTTACAGGTAGATTCATTCATTAGGAAGACAAGTAGGTAATAGGTTAGAGTATAAAATGGTTGTAATATAGAATTTACTTTCAGTTTATGCTTGAGGAAGCTATTGTATAGCGAAACACGTGTTGCAGTTTTTGTAAAACCCTTTATAGTGAAAATCATACAACAAACTGTATGTATTAGTTTTTTAATATGGATTTTCATCAAGTATCAGCCAGTTCTATTCAATAATCTTGTATTTATTTTCAACAGTACCAAAATAACAAAATAATAAAAACAAAAAGAATGTATTTAAAGACAAAAATTTAAAAATATAAAAATGGACTTTGAAAGTGAAGATATTATAAAAGGAAAGATACCAAGAAGAAAACGAATATGTTTCAACTGTTCCAAAGAATTTTTTACATTTCTGATCAGCATTCAACTGGTGGAATTTCCACTAAATTCAAACCCTTTATATTTAAATTCTGAATTTATTTAAACCTTTGATTTCATTAGATGATTGTGGGTTTATACAAAGGAGTTCAAAGTAACTCTCAAAAACAGAAAATATTGAATAGTATGTTGATGTTTTTGACTGCAAAACTTTCTTCCTGTTAGAAAGGTGGTAATTCTGAGATGTGGTAGATGACATTCTTTAGGTAATCCAGCCTTTTCCAAAGGTGATACTTTTGTATCAGCATGTTGTAGATGTGATAATGCTTGTAGAGGTGCATTGTCTTCATGACTGGTACTCTAATAATATCAAAATCGCAGCTTTTTAATGGCATGGATCATCTGAGCAATCTCAGATGACTTCAATGACTGTTGAGTGCATTAGGAGTTGATTATATTTTGTTGTGATGTTAGCTGTGGCTTTTTTCATATACAATCTTTATCTATCGCTTGTTTTATAACTTTTGTAGATGAATCAATTTTTATTGAAAATAAAAGCCTCATTGGCAGCTTTGTCTTTAACTTTGGTTTTTTTTTTTATTTTGTTGTCATGAAAGTACTTACTGAGAAGACAAAATGTGAAAAAGAAAAGAACTTAATGAAAATAACTGTGTAAACGCAAGCGAGACATAAGTGGAACCACCTNAACACAAAGGAATTGGGGCATTATTTTGTTGAAAATTCCCTTCTATTATTGTCTGACACTGTGCAAACCACAGACTTGAGCTGTCAGTTTCAGACGTTATTAAATCTGTTTCAGGAGTAAGCAGATTCAAATCCTTTATTGATAAACTCTATGTTGTCTATCACGCCTCACCAAAGAACAGTAGGGAACTCCGGAACTGTGCGAATCTATTAGAGGCAGAAATTTAAAAATTGGAAGAGTTTTGAGCACCCGTTGGGTCGCATCTAGTTTCAGATCTGTCTCAGCTGTATGGGAGTCCTACGAGGCGTTAGTACAACACTTCAAAGAAGCTTCAAATGATACAACTAGAGACAACAAAGAAAGAAGTACTTTTTCAGGCCTCCTCAACAAAATCACAGATACAAATTTCATATTAGACCTGGGTTTGATGACTGACGCTTTACAAGAGCTTTCAGAACTAAGTGAAGCTTTACACCATTGCAACGCAGATTTGAGCTATGCAAATAGAAAATTGCAAATCGTAGTTGCTTTATTCAAAGAAAGGAACACAACTCCTGGTCTATACTCTAAAATGGCCCAAAAAGCAGTTGACAACTTGTCTTTTTTCAGTGTTCCTCTCCAAACAAAAGCTGGTCGAGTAAACGACCAACCGATGAACCCGGAAATATTTTACGGAGCACTGAATTGAAGCGAGACTGTTAAATGAAAAAGACACTAAGTTAGCAGAAACTTTCAAAGTTATGGTTACTAGAAACTGGCCTGAAGACATCCCAATAACGTTCGGAGAAAACGAAATGAGGGAACTTGCTTCCAGGTTTAAGCTTAATGAAAGGCAGTTAATAACGGGTTTCCGAGAATATATCTACTCCAGAACGTTACCAGACAGCCTCTGTCGGCTCGAGCAATCGATCAACTCGGTTGCCATTTCATCAAGTGAATGTGAAAGAGGGTTTTCTCAAATGAATTTAATAATAACACCTCTGAGATCGTCACTCAAAATTACAACGGTGTCTGGCCTGTTGTTTGTAAAAATATAATGGACCTCCTCTCCGGCTGTTTCAACCAGAAAAGTACGTTGACACTTGGCTTGTTTCTGGACACCACTCAGCGCTAGCTGTCAAAAGTAAGGAGAGATCAAGAGAAAAGAAATACGATGAAAACAAGTTAAAGTTTTGGACTGTATTTTAAAAAGAATCCGAATACAAAAATTAACGCTGTATTGCTCTACTTCTATCTATGTTAATAAAAGAAGTTTGAGTCCTATAAAGTCTTCTTATTTCCTTTCAAGAACCTAATTCTTTACACAGGCAAACACTGTTTTGTGGTGATGGAATGATATATAATAGAAGGGGTGGGTGGGAAGTCTCGGCAGGTTGTAGTTCCGGTACCTCAATTTCTAGAAATCGAGCACTGTATATATACATAGATATAGATTATTGTCGAGTGTGTATGATATACATCAAAAGGGGGAAATTCGTGGACAGAACACTCAAGAAATATGGAGGCAAACCGCGGACACGTGTTTCTGGTTATTGGCCTCATCAGCGCGGTGCAGCCAATTGCAAAGATGTACAACTTAGGACAGTTATTTTATCCGTTTCTGAAATATCCCTTTAAAACTTAAGTTATTCAGATGGGGAGAATCGCGCCACACTTCCATCTTCCATAAATAGACCATTTTGCTGGTTTTTACTGCTTTTAGAGCTCACAGAAAATGTATTTTTTTACTTTCAGGCAAACATCAGCATGTTGTTAGATACTACTCTGCATGGGCAGAAGATAATCATATGATTATCCAAAATGAATATTGTAATGGAGGCTCTCTAGCAGATAAGATTGCCCAAGAAGCTCTTAGTGCTCAAGAACTTCGAACTTTGTTACTCCATGTCGCAGAAGGTTTGCGATATATTCACTCTGAAGGTTTAGTTCATATGGACATCAAACCGGGAAACATATTCATATCCAGAGAGAAAAAAATTCATATAACAAACTATGACTCTGCAGACGATGGGTTTGAAGACCTAGATGATAATTCACTTCTGGAAGAGGAAATTACATACAAAATTGGTGATTTGGGACATGTCACTAGCATACAGAACCCACAGGTAACCAGCTATTTATTTTATTTATTCGGTAAATGCTAAGTTACAAAGTTGTAAAATATACATGTATAAAAATATACTTCAATTCAAAAACAGTTAGAAAATTTGTACGAATATTGAAATATGTAAAATAAAAAAGCAACCTTAAAACTAAATGCTAAGTATAATGCTAAATTATAAGTAACACCAACACTATAAACTAACAAACCTACAAGGCATACATCTATTGACTAAATACATAATTGACTACAGACTTTTCGAAGACCTCCAAGGAGTAAGTAACAAAATCAAGTTCTGATGCATTATCTTTCCTCAACATTCTTGACATTGGACTACTAAATCCAGCAGTATGATTAAAAACAGTAAAACATATAATGGGCTAAAATGGATTGAATTAAATAATTTTGAGTCATTAAGGAGAAGGTCGTCAGCTGACGCAGTTAAAGTACAGATTATTCGAGCAATGCACAGAATCTGTCAGGGTATATTTTTGTTTGTTTATTTTGAACAAAGTGCACAATATAAAATAATGTGTAATAATATATGAAATGAAAATAACATAATCTGAAATGGAGGTGAACGACAACATGTTCATTTTTCCAGTAAATGTTATGCCGATTTTTGATCTATGCAATAGCATAGGGCACTATGTTTTTGTTCCATAAATAATGAAGATAAGGCATTGAAAAATAAAACCCTGTTCGTTTTCATCAGAGAAAAAAAAACACCAAGAGGACTTAGTTTTGAATACCTCGAAAAATGTAAGAAGTATAGAGGTTACCTGAAGTATCAATACCAATACTAAAACAATAAAAGATAAATAGTTTTGGTATTGGTATTGATAATTCTGGTAATATTCTTTATTTCTGGTACCTATTGCAGGTACCTGACAGTATCATTGTATATTTAAGGACTTGTTTTGTAGAAAGGCATCAGTTGGATAAATTTTTATTTTATAAATTGCAGGTGGAAGAAGGAGATTGCCGATACTTACCGAATGAGATCTTGCAAGAAGATTATTCACATCTCACAAAAGCTGATGTATTTGCCCTTGGTTTGACTGCTTTGGAATGTGCTGGAGCTGGCCCCCTTCCAAAAAATGGAGAAGAGTGGCATGAGCTTCGTAGAGGTGAATTACCATCTTTACCTCAAAAATTGAATCGGGATCTGATAGAACTCATCAAGTTAATGATTCATCACGATCCTGCTCTGAGGCCCACACCCACACAAATTTTGCAAAACAGAGCTCTTTCACCTGATAGTAAAAAATCCAAAGCAGAACTAACCAGAGAGTTGAACGCTGAGAAATTGAGAAATGAAATGTTGGTGAAACAATTGAAAGAGGCAGCTATGTGTATCAAGACTATTGCCAATGAGACTGTTAAGATGCCTTCTGTAACGAAAATGAATTCAAGGTTGATTGGAAAGAAAGTTAACAGAAGTGTTAGTACCACGACTTTCTAAATCAGGTGATATTTTATTTTATTTTTTTTTGTTATCGAAGTATAGAGTAATTCTGATTTTATATTTTTGCAAAATATTTTTTTTATGTATCAGAAGAAACGAGAGGTAAAATGATGAATATGATAATTGATGATCCATACCAATAGAGTTTTCTTTTAATGAGCAAAAATATAGAGAGTCAGTGAGAATTTTGATCTGTCCGAGGATCTAAATATATTTTTTCATCCAGGTGTCTTCTGTCTTTTCCCCCAAAACCGTCAGAAGTAATTATTAAACACTACTTTTTACATCTTTCCTATATTTGAATGATTAAATATTTAGTTTATAAAAGTTGTATTTTTTGAGTTGGTAATATTTTTTAATATTTAATATTAACTTGACTGAAAAAGTATATTTAGATCATGATTGAGAGAAACGGTATTATTATAAGCTTTAAATTACTTTTTCGCAATAACTTGTATACTATTTCAATGTCGTCCAAATATTACAGGTGAATAAAAAAGTGCTGCACATAATAAATGACAAATTTTTGTTCACTTGTAATAATATAAAATAATGAAAGATATATTTAAGTAAAAGTTTATGAAGTATTATAGTAGTCATACATTGAGATGTGACTAATATTTATAATTTACAAATAATTTTCAAAAAATTATTAAGGCATGTGTAGAATACTCTGTACTTCTCCTATTGAAAAATAATATCAAAAAAGAGAATATAATTTATTAGTTTTTAGGCAAATGTGGCTAGTTAGAATTCCAAATTCGGAAGGTAGACTGTTTTTCATATACCGATGGCTGTTCCTTTCTTAAAAGTGATGATTTGTACATTTTTGTTGAAATCAATGTTGCTCATTAGTTTGTATTACTTGCTGCCTGCTGATTTGTTTGTTTTATTTATATACTTTTGATATTTTTAGTAGTTATTTAAATGCATTTTTCCATATTTAGATTTAAATTCGATATCTTAATTATGTTATTTGTATGTGATAACTAAAAGAGTTTGTGAGTTCTTTCATTATACTTTCAATTAAGGATATTGAACAACTGAAAGATGTCTAATAGCCATATATATTTGTCTGTCTTTAAAAATTACACATTTTTTTGATATTTTCCACAATTTATGTCCAACTTTGATATTGAAAAATTTTAATTCCTGTCCAGTGGATTTATTTAACACTCGATCCTTTCAAAATGTCAGCCAAATGAATTGTTTTTAATCAAAAAAATTAAGTTGAACAAATAAGTATTTGTTATTCCCTTTAATGTTATTATTTTGTTCTGATAACGGAGTTTATTATTTTTCAACTAAACTTTGTTTTCTGTAAATAAAAATTTTTGTTTCAAGAACGAGTGAACATTCCACTAGAATGCCATTAATCCAATTTCAATATTGGGATATTTTTCTTCTGGCAAATTGATCACAAAAATATTAGATAAATCCACTTTGGCATGTCTTCATTTTCAATAAACATAACTAATATATATGTATATAGATATTTGACATCTGCTTTTGCTAGTTAACACCACTTACAGTTCACTTTGTTTTTTCATATAAGGTGCTTTCCATTCACAACGACCATAGTCGGGCATAGATAGACCATGGTCAAAGATTGTTTTCCTTTCACTCATCTTGTTAGTCAACATATGATATATTAGAACATAGTTCGCTATTGAACTGAAAGGAAAGCACTTGCAACTGACTACGTTTGTCTGTGGTCGACTGTAGTTGCAAATGAAAGACCCTCAAAAGATATTTTTTTCACTATATGACTATGCTGTTTTTTTGTAAGCATATTTACATTCCTTTTAACTAGTGCCTTATTCACATTTTTGTAATTGTATAGTTTTTAATGTTACTATATTTTGTAAAAAGTACCAAATATATATTAAAATTTACTGTTTTCTTTCCTTTGTCATAGTGACCCCCAGGTAGTTTTGGCTCATTAATTTTATGTACTTATTTAGGTTTTTGAAACATGCCTAAACAATCTTATTAGTCCGTGGGCTATGCTTGAAGACTGGCAGTAAACAATTCTAAAGAAATGAACTTCAAACGTTCAAGCCAGTCTCGAATATACCTACACAATAGGTTAAATGGACTGACGCCTATCAGAAAACAACTACTCAACTCAACCCAACTCAAGCTATATGATTCGTTCAAAAAAGATACAAGGGGTCGGCATAGAAATGATACACAACAATAATAATGAAATATGTCCACAAATTCATTCTTTACTATGAAATGGTAGTGACGTGATTTTGCTGAAAGCATAAGGTGGTTCCACTTATTTCTGGTGAGACATTTGGGCTGGAATATAAAAAAGGACATGATAAGTATAGATATAAAACATTATAACGAAAAAAAACAGTAATATACCTGTGCTATGTGAGGATTATTACTTTATGAATTTTAATTTTCGGAGAAATCTGGAACATGAGAATGACATTTTTGACATTGAATAATGTGGAATACTTTTTGTTATAATTTTTTAATGTCGTTTATCATGGTGATTTATATTGTTTAAATATTACAGGATGTATTCAGGTTTTTTTTTGTTAGTAAAAATGAATACATTTTGCTGAGGTTGTCAATGTCTGTCTTTTTGTTGATATTGTTTTCTTCAATTTCAGTTAAGTGATATAAAGGTGCTTCAACCCAATTTTTTTTCTGTTTTTGGAAAAAAATTGTTCAAATTTTTTATGATGTGGCACCGAAAAATACATATAACCCTCAATTTTTACCCTTCTATCACCAACCATTATTTTTCAATAGCCATTTCAATATAGTTTAATCATTAGATCAGTTATTCCTACCAGGCGTCTACCGGTGTCGCTTTTCACTCATCAGTAAACGACACGAAGTAGGGATAAGAACCAAGCCAGTCCAAAAAGATAAAAAAAAACACTAAGTATTATGTATTAATTCAATTCAATTTCAAGTATTTTTCAAGTAGTTTTGTTGAATTATTTATTTCAATATGTCAGGATTACTTTTATTGTCAATATAAAAATAATTTGTTGACTCAAAAGATATAATAATAATGTCTTTATTTTTCATCCGAAGTCTAGTATTAATTATGTTCTGCTTAATGCTTAACCGAATACCATTTATGGATATTCTATGTAATAAAAACTTTTTAAAGCAAATACAACTAATATACCTAGTTTATAATTCTACTTAAATTACACACATAAAGGTAATACACATTATGAAGAGGTGGAAATCTGTTTACCGAATGAGGATAAATAAAAAAAAAGATCAAAAAATGAAATCAAACTCAAATTAAAAATGTAGAGATCAATCTACGCATAACAAACGCAATAATACTTAATTATTGAAGAAGATTTTATATTTTTACATCCAAATGACGAAATCGGTCACAGGAGAATGATTTCTGAGAAGACTTCATCAGGAACTGAGATAATTTCTTAAATTTGAGAGGTAACTTTATTACCTGAGAGTGATGATTAATTAGTTGGCGACACCAGTGAGTATTTAATTTTGTCATTCACAAAGTGTTTGTGTTGAGTATTCTTTGATTATTTCACTTAAACATTTCATTTCAAATAATATACCCCTGAAATATATTTTTTTAATTATATTCTGTATTACTTCATTTCCAATATTGAAGTAAAGAACCATTAATAAGATTTGTTTAGTTCTGCTCCAGAAGTGTCAATGCCTTCCATTTTTTCATGCACCCTTCCCAAAAAAAATATTTAAAAATATAATTAAATAAAAATTTAAATATTTTCGGAATATATTCCCAGTTCTTCTAGAGTATCTGGGATGATATTAAAACTAAAGACGGTACTGAACTTTTTTGTACGTATTGGGCAAAGCCGACCCTTAGATTTACACAGGAATGTCATTATCAAGGACCCTGAAAACATCGAATAAAGATCATAGGCGTCGCTTTGAACTTCCAATTCTGATTGTATACAGAATCTATGGCAATCTTCTCCGGAGTACGGTATTGCCACTTTTTGAAACTCATGCTCCCTTGAAAATTATCTATAATTAGACCGGTGAAACATCTCAACCATAGTTCACCGATACCCTTCGAATATTGATAAAACTAAAAAGTGTTTCCTTCAGAAAATTCAATAGAATTAAACTCGACACTCACAGGAATTATTACACGTATCTCTAATTTGAAAAAGGTCCTACTTCCGTTATATGCTAAGCCGCCATCGTCAGAATACTTAAGCCATGTGGACCTAACTTAAATCTTGGGATATTAGCAATAAAACAAATTCCACATTTCCGGCCAATACTATCAATGATCTCATAAACCACACCTTACGATTTGATCTCCACAAACTTTATTTAAAGAAATATATCACGATATGTTTCGTTAACACAGCAGCTTTTTCTTAGTGAATTAAGTACTATGAGTTCATTCTTACTCTGATATTTATGTACCTCACGTAATCACAATTGAGACTACCTAAATAGGGACCCACTCGATCAAATTACCTAAAACATCAAAACTTTTATATACTTATGGTACATCTTCACTTATGATTATCTAAATCATATTACATTGTTATTATTGATGTAGAATTGACGTAATATGCTTTAGGTAATCATAATTCCTTCCTTCTGTCTCTGAAGCTAAACGTTTTGGTCTAATTTTTTACCAGCAGCTCAAATTCTTTAAACACTCAGGTGTTGTCGCAGAGAACATATCTGAGCCTTGAAAAGACTATTCCTTTTCAAACGGGATCTTAACACTACCACTAAAAAAAAGTTTCACAACTCTTGTATACTAAGTATGCTGACGTAGTTTATAGACCGTGTTATTTGGAGAGCGTGCAAGATTGGAAAAAATGCAAAATCAATACATTCGTTTTGTAAAAGCGGTTCCCCCTCGAGCACATATCGCCACCCATACTAGGGAATTGCAACTTTTGACATTGGATGAAACTGCAAAACATGAAACATGCCACCGCGGACCAGCCTACCCAAGTTAAGGTGTAAGGAATCGTGTCGACAGCTGAATGGCCGCAGGGTGATATGCGGTTACGAACGATCCCCTTGAGGAACCGGGCGAAGCCTCATTGTAATTAGCCTTCCTCTGGTAATGCGGGGCTCTGCCAGAGGTGACCAACCCTCCCCTTGCTACTCGTGGGAACACACATGAACATAGACATACAAACAAAACAACCAAAACAAAATAAAAAAACAACAAATCCCGAGGCTGGACAGCAATGCTCACCTCAATTTAGGGCGGGGGCTGGGGATGAACAGAAATGTTCACCCCAAGCTACCGCTCAGAATGAGGCTGGACATAGCAGACCACCTCTCGATGTAACGCAGAGGCCAAGGCGTAAGTGTATTAGCGGCGCCGAGGCCAAGAGGATAAAGAGAGCGAAAGAGGCAGGAGTGGTAGCAACTATGAGTGCAACCTCCCCTTCTCCCACTCCATCTCCAACAACAAGGGCACCTCTTGCGGCGGGCACCAAGAGCTCCGCCTTGAAAAAAGAAAAGAAACCGGCTGCCACTGCAGGAAAGCGCCCTCACGGGAGTACCTCCACGGAGGGAACCCTAAAAAGGTTGAAGAAGCCGCGCAGCGACAGTAATGTCGCTGCACCCTCCAAAACCTTCGTGGAGGCCGCCTTGAGACACCTCAAGGTAGCCATCATAGATAAGAATAACCCGTACGGTAAGGTTATCGCAGAACGGAAGAGTCTCATCAAAAAACAATTGCTGGAGGACCTGGACAAGATTGTCTTCTTCGTCTCCAGCAACAATAGCAAACCGCCCATTACCAGATCGTGTAGTCAGAACCTTTCCAGGTTTCACAACTTCCGAAGGAGAACGGTCAGCACTAAGTGCCCTTTTTGGACTAGCACCAGCAACATTTACAGGTCTATTTGAAGAACTTCCAGCTATGTTTGGGTAATTACTACAACTTGAGTTGGTCAGTGGATTAGGGTCAGAAACGTTAATATCTACAGGAATACAATTGGGTAAGATGGATTATTTCTTCATATTTGGTTGTATTCCAGTATTTAGTATTATGAAAAGCTAAACGAATACTGTCAGCATGCATTAGTTCAACTGTTTGATTTTCTGTTAAAGCCAAATATGTCGAACGACTGAGAATTTTTACAATTTTTGCTTTATCCCATAACTTTGTCTGAGTATTCTTAATATAAACCTGACCATTTAATTTATATCGTCTAGAACAGTTTGTGCCGTTGAAGACTGGTTGAGATTTAGTCTTATGGTAATTAGGTTTCAAAAGGTCAAATCTTGTTCTAGGTTTTATCTTCAGCACACATTCCGCCGGAGTGAGGCCAGTGACGTCGATGGAGTATTTCGATAAGAGAATAAGAAATTACTTATTTTTATGCAGCATTGAATTTTCTGATATTTTTTCCTTGTTTAGAGAAAATAAAGACTTGTTCAAATATTTCTTTACTGTCTGAACTGACTTTTTTGCAGAGCCATTACTTTGGGGGTGGTAAGGAGGGGTTTTGATACTATTTATGCCTTTAGCTTGACAAAACTTACAAATTCATTCGCGTTATAGGGTGGACCATTATCTGATACTAATTCGTATGGCAGACCAATTGTGCAAAAAATCTCTTTCAACATTGAGATTGTTTCTTTAGCAGAAGTGCCGTTTTTCATGTATTTTATATCGAGCCATTTTGACTTTTGATCTAATAAAATCAAAAACGTTCGGTCGTTTTTTGTGAAGAAATCGATAAATACCCGATAAAAATTAGTTGAAGAAGAAGGCCATGAAACAAGAGGATTAGTATTAATCAGATTTTGATTTCGTTGGCAAACATCACAGCAACTGATGAACTTTTCAACATCACAACTAATGCACTTTTCAACATCACAACTAATGCCTGGCCACCAACAATATGATCTTATC